GTATGGTGGGATTTTATCAAGAAAATCTTTTTTCACACAATACAGTGGAATTCCCTACTACAAGATGCAGTGATGGCCACAACGCTGATGACTTTAAAAGGGGATTGGGCAAATTCCTGAAGCACGATGCTATCAATGGCTACTAGTCATGATGGCTATGTGTTGCCTCCACTATCAAGAGACAGTATGCCTCTGTATACCAGTTGCTGGACAACATAAGTGGGAAGATGCTGTTGCATTTGTCTCCTCCTTGTGGGCTTCCATCAGCAGTTACTTGGCTACTGTGTGTGGACAGAACGTTGGAGCAGACCGCTTCTGTTTTGAGCATGGTTCCTCTTGTGTTCTTATGCATTCTGTGCCCACTGTGGGCAGCTACTGCAAGGCGCCCCCTCCCATCATGCTGGCCTGTTTCCCCGGAGACCTTCTGCCCTGGGTGGTGAATGCAGGAGCCAAAGGGCAGTGGCCAAAGGCCACCACCCACTGGTGTCCATTTGATGGGTGGTACCTGGTTGGATCTGAGACCCTGGCTGTTGGCTGGTTTGTAGTTGTAGGCTATGTGATGATAATGAAATGTCAAATTCTTGTATTGCTGTCACTGCTTTAGAAATTTTATAAATTCTGTGAATTGTTGTGTTTATTGCCTCATGTAGCATTTTGAACTCTCGTACCTTGTTTTACATTGCATTTTATTATATTTTGTATATTGCACTAATGTAAACCACTTTGAGAGCCTTTTTTGGCAAAGTGACAGTATAGAAATTTAATAATAGTAATTCTATATTATACATACATTACTGTGCTTTATGTTGTATTGTATGTTTGTATGTGATCCACTCAGATGGCCTTTGGACTGATGTATTAGACAATAGGTACAACAATACATAAAATAAATAAGATAAAATGTTATGGTTGCCAATCTTGTAACTTGATTTTTTTGTTTAATAGAACTTTGGGTAGAACATGCTTTCAGTTATCTGAACACCTCTTATACATATATATATAGTAGTCATCAAAGTTTTTATCCCTCACTAGCAATTATGATCCTCATTCTGCTTCAGAGTTTTAAGCTCTATTGATTTTAGAAATGAAAAGAATGAACAATGAAAAGAACTCCACGGGGAGAATCGCTACATCACTCTTCCCAGCTATTTTCCCCCACTCCTCAAGATCAACAGAGGGGAGTAAGCAATACACTTCAAAAAGTCCCCTTTATGACTTTCACAGGCCTCTCTAAAAATCCACAAGGTTTTAATCCTTTACTACTCTTCCCCAATCAAGTCTGAAGTGAGGAGACCAGGTATGATAGCTCATAATCTAGGTAACTATATTACAACAACTATTATAATTTGGGATTGTGAACATGCACACTTACAGAGGCCTCTGGAACAGAATATTTTCTCTTGTGATGGTGAACCGCTTTCTATCCAAAAGCTAAATTCAAATTTTGAGAAGTTCCTGGGCCCTGTATCCCAGTGGTGGATGAGGACAAAGTAAAAAGATGGAGCCAAGATATACAACCCCCTTTCCATCATATTGTAATTTAAAGCTCTTATTGCCAATAACTATGACTTCAGAGAGGTACTATACTCTTTTAGAATGCAAAAGCTCCATAAAAGCAAGGAAACCGCCTTACAAATGGTGATTAGGGAATGGGTTCTGGCCATTTGGGAACTCTGTAGAGCCACATTGGGAATCAGGAAGCTCATGGCCTTGAAATACCCTGCCTTCGTCTATTTATAGGTTGGTACCATATGTCAACACTGATGTTAACAAACTACATGCAAAGCAATTCAGCCATAAGATTTTATGCCTCAGAAGTGTTGACCAGTGCCATGGGACTAGTAATTCAAGAAGACTTCCTTTATAGTAATTCTATATAGAATCTTGAGACATTTCCATAAACATGGAATGTTGGGAGTGGTGGGAATGACGTCAAAATGATAGACATGTGAAAGTGAGATACAATCCTGTTACACCCAGTTCTCTGATGCAGTAATGCAGGCTTCCGTTTAATAAAGCGATGGATTAAGTATCCAGCATCAGTAAGCTCTTAGAGCTTTTCTACATGAGGCTGTTACTTTTAGTTTTGCTGCTAATGTGAGTTCTGGGCTCTTTTCACAGGTTTTCCTTTCCTGCTTCTCCACTACATCCTCTAAGAGGTGATGTGATGTAGCAGAATAGCACCAATATACAAGTAGAAAAATGACTTTTCTTTACTTTTATATAGCACTCCATTTTCCCTGCTATAAAAAAGAAAAAGAAACAAAACAGGAAAGTGAAATCAGAGGATCACAGTGTTAACTAAGGAACAGTAAATGTATAAGTGTACAATAAATGCTTCATATATTAAAGTTATTTTCCTTATGGAAGAAAATGAGAATCTGACATGGCCAAGTCAACCCCAAAACCCCATAACTAGGGTTCAGTTGATGGATAGGGAAGATCAGATCAATATGTCAATATGTGAATTTTTATTTTTAAATGTCAAGAGAGGATAAATTATAGTGAAAATACTTCAAGAGTTTCTAGAAATTTACTTGTTCCTCATTTCAGAAGGATTCACTTGTTAAAAAGTAATTAACTAGCCCTGATTAGCTCATGTTAGAATAAATGTACAGTATAAAATCTGCACTTGATAATTCAAATACAGTATTCCTGTATTTGAAACCAGAACAATTCCAGTATATTATTTTGAGGGTATAGTTCAGAGTAGTATATGGTAGGCTGTAGCTTATTAGGACTACCTGCAGTGATTATGAACTGCTCCTTATCTCACCTGTCTTAATGGCAGTTGCACAAGAAAGGTAAATTGGATAATGTAAAGACAGCACGTTACGCACTGTATGTACATTACTCTGTATATGAAAGACTCTCCTCCAAGAGCCTTGGTTACGTTATGCAAGGAAGACAAGCTTCTCAATGAAGTGCAACTGCCAATATTGTAATTGTTTTGGTGTCAGCTTAAAACCTGTTTACCCAAACATTTTATTCACTTGAATGTGTTTGTTATTTTGCTTTTCCTAACTTCTCCCTTTTTATCATGCTTGTGTGGTTTTAGGGTTTTTTAAAATCATATTTGTATGCCATCCCCGTTTTCTCAAAAGTGAAGAGAGGTTTTTAAAAATGCATTTAGGATGTCACCCGATCAGGTTGCCTGTAACCCCCCAAACTCAGAGGATTATGAGTACCCTGTGCAGAGCAGGCGGACCACCGAGGCAAAGATTTCCTCGATGCTGCTCCACACCACAAAGCAGCCAGACAGCCGATTCGGGCCATCTAACTGTGGCACTTTGGAGAGGGAAAGGAGGAGGCTGAAGTGCCACCAGGATATGTTGGATCTTGGCAGCATCCATCTCCCTGCCTCCCCACTCCCCTGGAATTCCCCCAACCCCTTCTCTGAGGTTGGCCTTACAATTTCAGAGAAGCAATCAGTGAAGTTCTGTCTGCACTAACTGGGTGGGATGTGGTATTCATCTTAATACTGAATACCAGATCTGAGGAACTTTTGCATTAAGGGGTCAAAGGATCACTCTGGCTGTGTATAACTCCAGTGCTTTGTATCAGAATCACCAATTGCCAGTATACTCAACACAAAAACATACAACAACAACAACAACACCAGTGGGTGCACTTCTCTTTGTTCACAGAAAAAAGCTAGACACATGCTAGAATGCAACATCACCAGATCTGAACAACACGCCATGGTCTTTTAGTAAGAACTGAGCTCCTTGTGCTTGAAGAGGGTATCCGTCTTAGGATGTCAAGGGAAAAAAAACATAGTGATGAGGGACCAGATACTGGGTGCCCTCACCAACTGTTATTATAATCACACTGCATTATATCCTACCTTTTTTCCTCTTGAGAGGAACTCTGAGCATAGGACTTACTTCTCCTGCACTCCATTTTTATCCTCACAACAATCACCCTGGGAAGTAGGCACGCTGAGATGAGTGACTGGTCCAGAGTTACCCAATGAGTTTCCTGGCTGAGTGAAGATTAGAACCCAGATCTTTCACCTTGCCACACTGGCTCTCAGTGAACTCCCTTTCATGAGGACATGCAGGGATTATTTTTTGTTGTTGTTCAGTGTCACCACATTTGAGGATGTCAAGAAGCTTTTTCTGAGGTTGAACTAGTTAGATTTCTAAGCATGTAGGTTTTTAAATTGGAAAAGTACAGATTGGTTTACTATTCCATGTTATCTGGGGCTATTAATTCTGAAGGCCTATTTTTGCCAAGCATTCAATTCTCCTCTGCCTTCTTGTAGATTTTGACTTGGAATATGCAGGTAGATCAGTAAAAAGTTGAGTATGAACTGTCCTGCCCCAGTTTATCAACAACAGTAATGAACCTGGAGGAGGACAGGGAGGAACCTCTGACTCTCCAGAGGCTTTGGTCTACAACACGCATCATCTCTACCACTTGGTAGAGTTGTAGGCAAAATGTCTGTGGTGCCACAAGTTGCTTTCCAATTTCACTATGAGGTTATAAAACGGAGAGAAAAGTGTTCCTGTGCAAACTCCTCTAAATCAAACAATAATGCATATGTATATTTTCTAGTCATTCAGTGAAGTTTAGTCAAGAGGACTTCCCACTGGATTCTACATGGTATTTTCGGTAGGGAATATAACTAATTCCATTAGCACCTTCATTTCCCAACTCTTCATTCCCCAGCTCATTTGCTGTTGTTCCTTACGTGCTGCTATTTTGCCACTGACAGAAAGCAATACATTTGCATTATGCCTTAACAAAATCACAAATTTTGATAAAGTCTAGATTTCTTTCAAAGCAAACATCCTGACAGCTTTGCTCATGCTACATCCAAATAGTTAATTAAGCAAATCCTCTTAGCATCTGTCACTTAGAATGAAATGACCACATAAGATCTTTAATAAGGAACAAATCCTAGGGATATAAACCTGAGCTCTGTGCATTGGAAATAGAACACGCTCTCGCCACCCCTCCCTTCAGGTAACCCTGCCCAGTGAACTCTCACTTACCCTCTGGGTGATTTCTTTACCCTCCTTCACTTCCACCGCCAAGCCAAGATCAGACAGTCGGCAATGGCCATTATCATCCAGGAGAACATTTTCTGGCTTCATGTCCCTGTACACAATTTTGATGGAATGAAGGTGCAGCATCCCACAGGTGATCTGAGCTGAGTAGAAGATGGCCCTATCCATTTCCAAGCCTCTTTCACCGACATTATAAATGTGATATTTAAGATCCCCACCATTCATGAGGCTCATGACAAGACACAGGGCGGTTTTGCTCTGATAAGCATAGGCCAAAGTCACAATGAAACGGCTGTTGACTTTCTCAAGAATTTCCTTTTCCAGCAGGGCCATCTTTTCACCACCTTTTTTCTTCAGTCTTTTTTTGTCCAACTTCTTACAGGCATACATCTTCCCAGTATTTCTTACCTGGATGGCACAAACCTAAAACAGCAAGTTCTATGAGAAAGGGGAAAGTGTAACTAATTAAACAATATGGGTTGGGATGAGGAGAGATCATACGTCTCACAGTACTGCCTTCTACGACACTATCCATTTGCTCCAGTTTCCACTTAATTTCAACCTGAATTAGATAAAAATAGCTTCTTGGCTGTGGCCATGTGATTTCTGGAACTTAATGACTAAAGTTCATTAAGTCACAGGCACTTGCATTGGGGTAATCTGTAATTCCTTTCATCTGTGATAAAAGGTTCATCCATGCCATTGTGCCATGGTACCCAAAGCTAGACACCCAAACTTGGCATGCCTACTATGGGACCCTAGGGGTGTGCATTTTGGGATTATTTTGTTTAAATGCACTGATGAATTCAAAGTAACATAAATGTGTATGACTGACGCTTGTGACAGGATCTTCAGTCATTAGTGGCAGATTTTCCTAACCAGCACATAGGTTTGCGGTCTTTACAGTTTTGAAGCCAGAGGAGATATAGGCCAAAGGACAGAGTGAGACACCTGCCACTTCCCAAGCCATGATACAGCCCCTGTTCGTGGGAAGAGAATGGGCAGACCTCTCACCCAGGGGCCTATACAAGTGCACCATGGCAGGAGCTTTGCCTATAGGTGCCAACAAGATAGGATGGGCACAATATATCTGACTCTGATGCAGCCAGTCTTACAAAGTTGGCAAACTAAGAGCACATCTGAATGTTATAAAGCAGGATTTAAGCTTGCTCCACCCACTCCCATTTCTATCCCAATTTTTTAAAGTGGGGTTAAAGGTTTTTTTTTTTTAAAGGAAAAACTTCATTGCAACCCTTTTCTCCTGAAGTGCCACCATTTCAGTCCAAACTGGGGCTGTGCATACTTGCAGGAGATGGTATATGTGAAGCACTTACAGGTTTTATTACATAAAACAGTAGCTAAGTATCACTAAATAAATAAGGTCATTTGGCCGTCAGGCATATCCCAACCAGTGTGAAGCCAGGGCTGTTTGTAAGACAAAAATAATAGTAGGAAACCTCATGTAAGACATTCTGAAAAACCTGGAGAAGGGGATAAGATGTTCACACAACACCCTGCCTGTTTGCTCTTTACTGTGCCTGAGATAATTAGTAAAAGTATTAAGATTAACATACTTCATAACAGATCTTATCTATTTAGGGTGATAATTAGCTGCCCAGTGCTTGCAATATACTGAAGAACATTCACTGTATTCCTAGCTCAACTGCTTACATAGGAGATAGATCAAATCAACATTCCTTACCTCTCCAAAGCCTCCTTTTCCTAACACTCGGAACTCATCAAATAGTTTCTCGGTTATAGGTTGCCGCTCATAGCATTTCCATTGCACAAACTTGTCAAAGAATGGACTGGCCTGGAAGTCTGTAAATGGTTTTTCTTTAAGGTAGGCTATTGTCTCTTCCCTGGCCAATCCTGCAACCTTCTCAAATTCATCCTTGGCAGCTGACTGGCACTTATTGGATTGGTCTGCACTGAGAAATTTCAGGTAGCTATTGCTGCCATTCTTCAGGTACATATTGACTATGCCCTCTAGGAGGCTGCTCTTGATGTGGTCTTCTGCCAATTCCCAAGCATACACTTCATTCAAGAATTCCTTGGCCACCAAGTATTCTGGAACAGTCTCTAGGAATTCCTGGAAAAAACGCTTGCCAATTGGTTGTTGCTCACAAATGCTCTCATACTCCAGCACAATGGATTTCTTGACTTCGGTGCATTCCTCAGGCTTGGGCAATGCAAGGGTCTTACGCCTTTTCTGCATCTCCTTGGCATCCACATCTCCACTTTTCCTGGCCTGCAGGTATGCTGTGTTGGCAATCAGGTTATCCAGTCCCCCCATGTCACACATCTTGGCAATCTGTTAGGATAGCAGAGCCTTGCTGGGGCAAAAACACTGGCTAGCCTTGTGGCGGCTGCCCAGAAACTTCTTTGCCACCGCCACTGCACTGCCTAGGTATAGGTCTAGGCTTCGGAGAAATAGTAGGGTGATTGCCTACTTTAGCATTAAATACTTCTCAAGGATTTTCATTAAGTACCTTTAGGTGTATGTACCATTTGTGGAAAGTGGCTGGTAAGAGGGTTTCTCTCTAAGGAGCTTTGGGTTTGCTATCTATAGCTAGATGGATAACATCTCAGGAAAACCTCCTCACTGCTGCCATCACTATCTTCTGTGCATTCTCAGTTAAGGCTCCACTACTTATGCCTAAGGTATGGTTCACCCATACACACACTTCTCTTGACCTCAGTATTTGCACCATCCAGACAGAACAGCCATTTTCCCCTCAAAAAACTCTCCAACTCTCTGCACAACCTTAATTCAGATATGCCTAAGAATGCCCACCATTATTTCATATTTTTAAAGGAGACATTTTAAGAGGGATTTTGAGATTCTCTGTGTTATGCAGTACTGCAAGAGAACGTATTTAGAAAATCAGCAGGTTGACAACCAAGGAGAATGGTTAGGCTTGTGTGTGTGTGTGTTTTAAATTGTCATCATTATCATCTAGTCCTAGAGTTGAAAGCCTACCTCTTCAAACAGATCTTAGAGAAATGTCAGTATTGTGAGCTGTACCTTTACACCACACAAAGCTGCTGTCGTGTGCCACTTGCTCTGAAGGGACTCAGATCAGATTAGACAAAGAGTAAGTGAGGAATGATTGCTTCTCTATAAATAATGTACAATCAGAAGAGTCTATTTCTCTAACAACACAGCGGAGGTGGAAATAACTTGAAGCCGTCTAAAGCACAAAGTACATTGATTACCAAAACATAACCTCAGTGTCATAACTAGGGCTTTTGAAATTAAAAAACACACTTAGAACCTACTTCAGTTCTTCATGATCTACACAAAACTAATGGGATTACAAGGGAGCTAGCCGTGAACCCTATATTTAGATGTCCTAACACTTCATTATAAAGGATTGCTATGGTTTAATGGCTCTCTCACCTCCACTGCAAGGTGGGGCAGGAGAGGGAAGTGCCATTGTTATCACCTCAGTGTCCACAGTAAGACCATCAATTTGCTCAGTTTTGAGCCAGACACATTTTCAAAGGTTGATTTATCAAGCAAATGGTTTTGACCTAAGCAAGTAAAACGTTTGAATACATTCTCAGGAAAACAGGATAACCTTTGATATAACTTTGTGATAAACAATTAGAAAATTACTTCTTCTTCAAAGAAGGTCAGTGGCTCAATACAGGTATGAGCTAAAGCATGGTTTTTGCTAAACCAACTTTCCCTTCAGTTGTTCTGAAGTACAACTCCTATCAGCTTCAGTTTGTCTGGCCAACGGTTGGGATGAAAGTAGCATTCAAAATATCTGGAAGACCACCAGTGGGAAAAGCTGCACTAATTAGTTTATAACCCATATTGTAGTTGAAGATGTACAACATACATTGTTTCTCTGCATTCATCTTCAATCTACCCAGCACTGTTTCTATAGTTCAGCATGCTCTAGGTGGAGCAACATCAGAAGCTATGGGATGTCAAGCTGTGAAAAGCAGTATCACAAACCATGGCTTACAAGCCTGTATCAGATCAGTTTTGGATTTGACAGAGGATCGTATGGTATAACTGGAATATTAAGCCATAATTTAGCTTCCTTAATCATGGTCTGCCATGATGTCTGAATTAAGCCTAAGTTTCAAAGCTGCCTGGGGTTTATCATGAAGTTGGAAGGCTAAATTTGACTCGATTGTCTGTTCCATATACATCAGGAAATTCTTTAGATTTGCAGAAGAGCAAGATAAACTTCTTTCAGCATCTCCCCATGCAAAGCCAAGCCTCACTTCCAACACACTACACAGAAGATGATTAGATTTGTTCATATCAGGTTTGCTTCATTTTGTTCCATTTTTTAACAGTAAGTCAACCATTTGGAGTAGCTATTCCTGAATAGAGAAATAATAATTTTTTCATTCCAGGCAAGTTCACTTGGAGTGGAGATACAGATACATATGCAAAAACACTTTTTTGAGGACCCATTTAATTAGCACACAACCTAAAATCCTGTGTTGAAATATAAGGCCAAAGGGGAACTCCTAGATTGTATCAAATCATGAAACCTGGCTCCAAAATTATATCACTTTGTAATGTCAAATCATACATTCTGATGGTACACAGTTGTGCATATAGCACCTCCAACAGGCAGCAACTTGTGTTATATATCTTATAACAAAACTTCAAGTGGCCTTCTGCAACCTGGTACTTTTCACATGTTTTGAACTACAACCCTCAGGCACTAAATTAAGAAAGTTCCAACCACCACAAGAGTCGATGCAGTTCTAGAAAGGAAGTGGGGCAACCTGAATAAATGATCTTACATTAAGTAACTAGAGTTGCTGGTCTTGGTAGAAGCAGCACTGATATTAATGTATTGTTTAATTATGTTAATCAGTAATGTTCAATTATGATTATAGTTACTATATTAATTGTATTGTTTTTGTTTATATTATTAAAATTATTTAAAAATGAAAAAATGAAGTTCCTAACTTTTCTGGGCTAGTAGACAAAATATATTGGAACTTTCTAAGTTGCATTGGCTTCGAATTCCATATGTGGTGGACACAGAGATACCTAGCAGCAAGTTCTGACATTCTGCATAGATTTGTGCATGTGATCTGTGTCTTTGTGATTTGTGTAAGGTGCTTAACAGTAGAAAGTATTTGTCCCTCAGTTGTTCACAGTAGATGGAAGCAGCTCTTATGAAGGCCTGTTCTACAGAGGGCAAGGGAATGCAGGTGGAGTAGCGCATTCAGCTGGGTCTTCTTAGGACCAAGCAAGGGTGGGGGATGAGCTGGATGAGGTACATCTTCCTGTCACCACGGTATGTGGGGATTATATGTAGAAGCACCTCTTTCACTTAGCAAGCAGCTTGCCAAGTAGTGCTTCTCCACCGCTGAAGTCCTGGTGCTGCTCAGCCATGGCACTGGGTTTGGAATTTGTCATCCCCACTCCCCTCAGTGCTCCCACAGTGTCCCCTGGGATTTGAGTGGTAGGACTGGGCCAGGAAGGGTGGGAAACAGATTGATGCCCAGGATGGCTACACTGGGCTAACAATCTGAAGTCACACACCATGATCTTATTAGGGTTGGGGTTTTTTTGCTAGAAAGTAATTCAGTTTTTTTTTTCTTACCAAAAGCCTTTTATGATTCACAGAAACATAAAAACAGAGCAAGTCAGAAGCGGCCTCCTGGGCCATCTAGTCTGACCCCCGGCTCCGCTCACAAGCCCACCATGTGCATGTCCAGTCTATCTCTGAACACCCTCACCGATGTGGCCTCAACAACCTCTCATGGAAGCCCATTCCACACCCTCGGGGTCCTAACTGTCAGGAAGTGCTTCCTGGAATCTAAATGGAACCTTGGTTCCCTGAGCTTTGCTCCACTGGAGATTCTTAAAATAGATTATTATTCCCTGTTAGGCTGCAAACCCACATTTACCCCTTATCACTGAATTTGTTTACACGGTAAAATATTTCATTCAGGGTTGAAATAGATAATAAAGCAACATTTCAATGAATCAAATGGTTCTTCTAGCAATTTTAATAATGTATTTTAAATGCTACAGGTACCATCTAAGTCAATACTAAACACATTTAAGTGGATCATTTTTGTAACAGTGGGCTGAGCTCAACAGACCTTATCTTTTTTGAGAGCTACCTATCTGAAAAAACAGGGTATCCTCATGTTGTTTTCACCTTAACTTTCAGTTCATTTTTGTAAGGTGGTGAAGTATGTGGAAAGGTGAATTAATTAACATGATCATCAAATGGTCATGATCCACACTGTTGCGTGTTGAAATTCACTGGGTGTTTTCTGCTTCCCTTTGTATAACAGCCCATCCTACTACACCCAAAAATGCTTCTAACATCAGAGGACCCATAGGAATTTGATACAACACAATGGGACACAGTCAGAAGGAAAAATTCACATATACGTATTTTCATGCAAATGTGCAAATGCTTCTCTCTTAGCTTATAGCGCTATCAGGACCTTAGCTTAAATTTAATCTAACACACACAGTAAAAGTGCCTAGTTATGATGTATTCTTAATTGCATTTCCAGTTAACAGACTTTTTGATGGATAATTTTCAAGTATACTAAATATTGTTTTACAGGCCTCAGGCTTGCAGGAACCTTGTTTCTTTACTAGAATTCAAAGAGTTACCAACCTCAACCAGGTGCAAAACTAATACACGTAGAATTAAAGAACCCTGAGATCAGGCATTTGTTTTGTGTACCAGAATTGAACAGAGCTCATCATTCTTCCAAGCAAAAATATACTCCTGGTTACTCTAAGCTTTCTATATTTCAGCAGTGTAATTTAGGGTGGGGTGAAATCATTTTAGTATTGTAAAATAACTGGGAGTTAGAAATCTTTGATCTACTGCAAATCAACCAGAGATCTACGAGCAGATCCAGAGCTACTTTCTATCCATCCATTTTATAGAAACAAACAACCTGAGCATTTTTACAGGATAAAAAGTTTAATACTGTAAGTTAAAGCAAGTACACATTTTAAAACGTCAGTTAATTTAACCTTAGAAGCACCATAGGAAAGATGCTTATCAAAAATGAAGAAGTTTTTTTCCTGCATGAAAGCTAAAGGAAAGAAAAATGAATGCACTGTAAATGTTTATTTGTATTAAAAACCTCAGTTTTGAGTAAAAATTCTGAGATTTCTTTGCCTTGAACAACAGATAATGAAGGTTTCATAAGAACTAAGGAATTCCTAAACAAATACACAATTTGTACACTAAATGTTTAGATACATTCTTAAATATCTGGGCATCTATATTCCTGATGTAACGAGTCTGAAAATGGATTCAAAAGACCAGAAATATAACACAAAATTTTTAAATCCAGTTCCATAGATCTCTGTAGGCTTAAATAAATAAAACCAATTTTGCCACATTGTGACTGCTCCCTTCTTTCATAGGGGAAATATGTCGTAAGTTGTATAGCATTCCAAACAAGTTTGATAGAAGAACTGCCAGTGCTTTTATTTGCCTATTCTCTGAACCACCCAGTCCTGTTGGCAGAGGGGGCAGCGGTTGTTCTGTTTCACCCACAGTGACATGCAGCAATTGTGGAAGGAATGATTACACTCTCCCCAGACAACTGAAAGAAAAAGAAAACCAAACTTGAAATTGTAGTTAAAAATGGATGTCAGATGTTGAATTATAAGTGCTAACATTCCACTCTGCATATCTTCAGTACTGCTACAAGACTCTTGTGCAATTATATAGCCATGATCCAAAGTAACATGCTACTTGGTTCCATAAAGCAGCAGCCGCCGCCAACTTTAAATATGAACAACAGAGCTATATGTTGCCTGGCAAACCACTTTTCTAATTTAGGAGAGCTTGCCACATGGCACTAGAATGGTTAAGTGAAATCAGTTGTACAAAGAAAGGTTAAAAGCCTCATTAAGTGTATACAACTTCTTGAATGTGCCAAATAGCACTTTGGATTCTGTCCTAAGACTTTATAGCACATACAGAATTGATACTGTAACTTGATCAACATTTTTACCTAATCACTGCACTTTCACATGTTTTTCCTCTCACAGCCAATTCAAATTTATTATCCTTTTTCCTAATTTAGGCTAATCCCCTAGTTTAAGTGCATACTATCAAATTCAGTAATTTCTATATGTACAGTATTTGCACATTCTAAATAAACCTAATCTTTAATCTACAATAAGCAAGCAAATAAAACATATGATTGCAGACGTTTCGCAGCTTAGAGTGATCCCCTGGCATCTAGTCACATGTAGCGGGTCATAGGACACTAGCGGGCCATAGGATCAGAGATGGAACTCCAGCCTTGAACAGTGCTTTAATCCCCTTTCTCCTCTGCAACTGGCACAGAGAGAACTATGCTGGCTGCTTTTGTGAAGCTGGAAAATTGACCTTAGAGAGGGGTTAAAGGTGTGTGGTTCAGGGAGAAGGCTGGGGCTGCCGAGATAGGATTCTGCAGCCTCCTCCTGTCCTCTTTAGAAAAATCTCAGCTAGATTACTGAAAATAGACATCTAATTGAATTGCACATCAGGAGGTGAGGGTTTGTAAAGACTGCCTTTGCTGCTCCTCCCATTCTGCACTGGATACTTGCAAGCCACCAAGTTCAGGAACTTACAAGCACAGAGGGTACAATTTATAGGACTGTGTCTTTATGTAACATTAAGTTGAAAGGGAGAGATTATGTATTGCTTAATTTTTTCAATGGATTCAGTGGAACATAAATGTGATTACTTTCTGGATGGTCCTGTTCCCACAAACATCCCAAATATCTGAATCTCTCCCTTAATACCCCCAAAAAGTCAACAGTAAAGTTGGAAAGCAAATTATTTTATTTCTTTCTAAAATGATTCTTTGCTTGTTTGAAAAAAAATCATCTTTTAACAGTGCCTGAAGATACAACAGAGAATGCAGCAGCTATTACCTTCCCAAATAAAATAGTTCAGCTTATGTAACTAATTTTTCATAGACATATACCCAGACATAAAGCATTAACTGGAGATTTCCAAGTATTTTATATAATGGTATGTGTTTTTACATTAGTGAAGGTTTACTGATGTGAAAAAATAAAAGGCATTTAGTTCAAATGTTAAAAAGCACCCCACTAAGAGAAAGCCTTTGGTTGAATAACAAAATGAAATCACAACATACCAACACAATCTTCTTGTTTGTTTTCAGCTTGACATCTAAGACAGGCATCTAGATGTAAACAAGAGCAAGACTGAATACTATGGTCTTGATGAAGCTCTAACAACTGCTTTTCCAAAGCATTTACAATCAGTAAAACACATTTATGGGGCACACATACCATGTCACATAACCATCTAGATGTCATTTCTCTTGAAGCATAATATTCCTTCAGCAACAGCTGTACAACAAAGGCATGGTTTAACTTGACTCATAATGACTTGAAAAAACAAGTATCTGAGCAGAATTTGCAGGAAGGAAACTACTATGGATATTGGATTAATCCAGCAGGATTCTTATGCAAGACAGAAGGGGCAGTAATTCCTACTGTATATGCTATAGTATATATGATTTATGACTGAGGAAAATAAGGCAATAATGCATAATGCCACACAAAATCTTTAGAGTTCAGATCACAAATTGCCTTTTTACTATGATCCCATCTTTACAGAACTATGTAGAGTAATATATAATGTGGCCCAGAAGTAAAATAAGCCTAAGGTAAGTCCTGTGAATGTATTGTTCTGCAGAAGGGCTCTGATTAGGAAATGCCAAAGTAAATTACATGCATCTCTTTACATGCCACTCCATGCAGTCCTGTAACGGAAAATGGGACTGCATAAAGAAACAAGCTGTTTTTGCATGACTTAAACTGCCTCTAAAGTTTACACAAGGTGATTTCTAAGAGAAAATGTCATTGACATTGAGCATACACATTATAAACAGTGAAAAAGGGTGTATTTTTTAAAATGGATAGTTGTGTATGTGTTGATGAAAAGAAATGCTTACAACATGCTTATTCTAACCAATTAGAGGACCAATTGCCTGTATGTTCTGATTATACAGTTAGTTGAACTTTAATTCCTAGCTCCACTTCCTCTCTTGCTGAAGTATCAAAATTGCTTACAAATAGCTCCAAAATGGAATGAGCATGTGGGTGGGTAAGTTGTGGTGTAACTAGATATATCAAGTACAAAGAAAGCCATGCAACAGATAAAGAGATGCTCAAACCTACTAAGTCACATAGTATATTTTCCTGTGCATGTATGAAACCACAGAATATCTTCCAGTACAAAAACAGTAAAAATGCACTGTGACAAACAACAAGCTGAGACTGGCATATTGCATATGTAACTTTTGTTTGGGAATTGTCATGCAGTGGCAAGTGTGGGTTATGTGTGAATTAAACAGACCATGTTATCACTCACATAAGTCATGCTCACAGGGCCTGCATGTTCAAAATGGTGGCTGCACACACCTCACAGTCTTAAACTAACTCATGGTGGCCTGTTTTGTCCCATGAAGAAGCCCAATGTATATTTGAGATGTCCAATTGCTAAATAAGAAAATGATCAATTCTTGTATTTCATAGACAAATCCATTCAAAAGTAAGCATAGTATAAGAGATCTATTTCCAAAATAACATTTTCTTAAGTAAATTCAGCAATGCTGTTGTCTAATAGCACCCCCGACATGTAGCAATGCAGATCACTATAAACCACAGAACAACAAACAATAAAAAGGTTAACTTTTTTAAAATTAGTTTTCAACTGCCACACAAATTAAACCATATTTCAGTGTAAGGACAGAAAATAATTGATTAGCTAGTTTTATACATCTCTCACAGTTACATAAGGACGTGACAGTCACCCACCGGCAGCCAGGACATGCAAGGGATATTTTAATACGAACAACAGGCAAAGGTCTCTTCGGGCTGTGCTTGTGTGTCGAGGCGAGGGGGGAATTACTCATACAATGAATGCTATGACTAAAAGGTACGCCTGCAGTGCAGAAAAGGCTGGCAGTGGGGAACAATGAAGGAGGAAAGCTGCTAGGAGTCCCTAGGGAAGGGCTCAGTGCAGCCTAGTTCGCCTGCATACGGCTGCTGGCAGCATTCAAAGTACTCCTTACAGCCGCTGGGAAGCGGACAAAGCCCGCCGCCTCCTCTCTCCCTGCACGGAGGAAGCTGCGCTGCCTCTCACTGCCTCAGAGAACCGCCGGGCGAGAAGACACGCATGGAAGGGGCACTTCTGCAACCTCCCAAGGGAAGGGGAGGAGACGAGGCCCGGGCCAGCCCAACCCCGCCCCGGAGGGAGGCTCGGTGCGAGAGGCCGTGGGGGTGGCAGGGCCGCGGCCTTGGCTCCCGACCCAGCGCGGCGCCGCCGCCCCCCACTTACCCATGACCTGCACCCGGCAGATGGCGCAGGTGTCGCACTCGACGTCCCAGCTCCACATGGCCACGGCGTTCCACTTCTTGAGCGAGAACATCTTATCGACGCCGCCTGCCTTGGAGCCGGAGGAACCCGCGTGCGAAGCGGAGACGCCCGGCTCGTCTCCGTCCTCCACGTCGGCCATGACTGGGGGACGGGAGGAGGAGGCGCCGCCGCGGTAGCAGCCTTCCTCGCCCCGCCCGGCTCGGCTCTTCCCAGGCGGCGGCGGAAAAGCGGGACGTGGGCTCCACCCAGCGGCCGGTGGAGGCCCGCCTCAATGCGGCCCGCGGGAGAATGCATAGCGCTCTGAAGGGAGAGAAGTGGGGACGTCTTCTGATACACGCCTGTGTAATCCGTAGACGTTAGCAGTGAGGGCTTCCAGCTTTTGATAGTTTAAATCAGTAGTATTTTCAGGATATAAATTAGACTAAGGTAGAATCCCTGCCTGCTTTATTTATGTATTGTTCGACTCGATCATATCTGTGCAGGGCACGCATGCAGAACCTCTGGTTTTGGGGTCTCCCTATTGCCAACCCCCTTCTCTGAACCATCAAACACTGATCCTTCGGGGTTTCCCCATATTTTGTTCTGTTTTTCCTCTCATTCTAAAAGGTTTCAATGCCTCTCCAAAGGCTTGCTTACTGGTAAAAGGGCTTTAAGCTAAAAGATGATGTTATATTTGGTCCCCGTTCTTTTTGCTTTTAGCCCAGCCTGCCACTGGAATGTAGCATCAAAATAATGGAAGTGGGTCCCCTAGCTAAAAGGGTTTTGCACCACCATAATCCATCACTTTGCATCTGACTCTAGCAGGTGAAGCTTAGGGTCCAAGGAAAAAGCAAAGCAGATCCTGCAAATGTGAAGTCTGCCCTTCCTTGATACAGGTAGCTCAAGAGCCATACTTGGATATCTCATGTTAATTAATCTAGAGTTGTTACTCTGCCACCCTTTTGTATATGCATGTTTGCTCATACATGCAATCCCATGCTGTTTTACATGAAAAAGGATGCATAGAAAAGGAGGAATTCTTTTATTATGATCCTGTTGTATTTGATGTTCTCATTTTATTCACAGCAAATAGGGAGCTACTTCTACTTAGGTTAATAGAGGGTGCAAAACAGGAAGCCTGGCTAGAAGTGGATTATGTTTTGTTCTGGGATTGTGAGAAAACGATTCTGGGGCCCTACATCTTGTCCGGGGGAGGGGGCAGTCATAAGTTTGGATTCCCAGCTCTGAGGTCAAAGACAGTAGCAGTATCCTCCACTCCTCCTTTCTTCCAGAGCTGGTACAGAAAGAACTGTGCTGGCTGTGCCCTAAGGTTTGAAAAGCTGTCTTGGAAAGGGCTTAAAGGGAGTGTTTTAAGAGAAGGAGACTGCCAGCCAGTATATGAGGTACATTGAAGCTGCTTTTGCCTCCTTCCCTCCTCCTCTGAAATGGTTGAAAAAGGTGGTGTAGTGAAAAAGCAGAGCAGGAGGAAGCAGCAAGCTGCTCCTCTCACTATGTACTGGATACTTTTAAGCATCTGAGCTGAGGGAGTCATGGGTATCACCATAGGATCATCCCCTAAAAATGCTTCCAAGCAAGGTTTTTATTGTACAATTGCCCTCCCTCATACACAAAATTTTAAGGAGGGTATCAAATGGACACTTTCAATTTGTGGCTCTCACTTGTTTTTCCACAGCCCCCTCCATCTGTTTTCTTACTACATAAGGTCCATTATGGAGGAAAGGATGGGATACTTACACACTGACTTTTAACAGTTAAAGGTGGGAGCCCTCCGTTTGCAAGCACCGCAAAGGCCTGTTCAAGTATTCTAAAGTTACTGCTGTCAAGTACATATGAGGTCAAGAACAACCATGTTTAGCATGTACCACCTACCCTTGTTTTCTTCATCCTTGTGTACAGGGTGAACTACTGATGCAGGAAGAATTTTTCTCCAGGGGGCTTTCCACTCAGTGTAGAACCCAGGGCTGTGGGCTGTATAGCTGGCCCTTATGTCAGTCACAAAGCCAACTACTGTTACTCTCTTCACCATTGTTAAAGTATAATAAAAAACATACATTCGTTATTTGGCTAAATATTTCAAGCATTTACGGAAAAAAGCCCGGGCCCAATTCAAGGTGTTGATTATGACCTATAAAGCCCTAAACGGCTTGGGTCCTGGCTACCTGAACGAGCGCTTACGTCCATATATGCCTGACCGCCCTTTGAGATCTGCGGGAGAGTCCCTTCTCCGGGAACCCTTCATGAAAGAAATTAGGAGAGTAAGTACTCGGAGGAGGGCTTTCTCTGCGGTGGCGCCCAACCTATGGAATTCACTCCCCAAAGAGGTCCGCCTGGCACCGTCGTTACTGGTTTTTCAGCGCCACATAAAGACCTTATTTAAACATCATTTTATTTGTTAAAACATATGATCTGGCCAGGGCAACTTCTTCCTTCTCTTTCTCCTCCTATATTTTTATTTACTTATTTTATACTGATAATTTTAATTTTATATTTGTAAATCAGTGTATTTTTTGTATTTTTGTATTTAATGGTAATTTATTATGTACTATTGTATTTCAATGTATTTTATCATGTTGTAAGCCGCCCCGAGGTTTCGGCAAGGGGCGGCATAGAAATGTTATAATAATAATAATAATAATAAACAAATAAAACAAAACAAGCAGCAGCCACTCCACTTGAAGCATAGCTGCAAAGATGAATAGGAAGAAACAAGCTGGATTTTATTTACATTTTCTCCAATGTTGATCCCAGCTAGACTAGACCCATTGAGATAAGTTAGTTTGTATTTTTCTCTCTCTGAAGAAACAAAAGCTGCAGGGTGATTGTGTGAAGAGAATCAGGTACAGAAGTACACATTGGCTGCTTATGCTGCTCGTTATTTATATGCTTCGAAGCCTGATTTAAGCTTCTGGTTTCAAACGATAAAACCTTACACAGCTCGAGACTGCAATACTTGAAGGAGTGCCTCCATGAACCATGACCTGCTTGGACTTGATCAACAATCTGAGTGCCATCTCTGAAGGAGGCTTAGAAGGCAGCAACGAGGAAGAAGTCCTTCTCAGTGGTGGCTCACCAACTGTGGAATGATCTTCCCATTAAAGCCTGCCTAGCTCCATCATTCTTTCAGTGCCAGGTTAAGACAACCCTGGAGCTTATTAGAAGTTGCAGGACTTTCTCTGTCTAAACATGAACACAGAATTGATTCCTGAATTGTTTATCTACAGTTTCTGTCTTTATTCTTGATCCAGTATATGTCTGACATATTTAAATCCTAACATTTAATTTCTCCACTCCTTGTTGCACTGACAACTAGAATTGTTATCTACATAGTACATTAATTCAATAGCCTGTTCTTACCTCACTAGTTCTAGGCAGAGCAAATTAAAGTTAGCAACATGCTTGACAGTGTGAAATTTCTGCAAAGAAATAATTACTGTTCTGATCTACTGTAGCACAATAGTTTAAGTGGCCCTGTACATTTAATGACTAGAGAATAGCAGAACTATTTGGTCATTATGTTGTTTTTCCTTTCTTTTACATTGCAGTCATCATCTGGCACTTGGATTGCATATCACTCCACTGTTCATTAATCTCTGATCAGTCATAGTGCAAAAGCTGCATGAGGCAGAAGTCTGGTCCAGGGTCTTCCTGTATGCATTTTTGTGGATTTCCAACATTCTTAATTCTCCCTTAGGAGAAAATATAATGTTTATGTTGCTACTAGATTATTTTCATGTAAACCAATGAGAAGAATAAAAGCTGTGAATGTTGTAAAGCTTATAAATATGTTCTTCATGAAAATATTTTAATATTAATAGTGCCCTGTGTTTTCAAGACAAGTTAGAATGAATTAGCATTGTCCTTTACTCTTTCCTCATCTAAGGGAGTATATCTGTTATTTGAATAACAAATGAATATTACAACTCTTGCAAATATGTAAATACTGCAGTGCACAAAATATAAATTTATAAAAGATATAGAATAAAGGAGATATAAGTCTTAAGTTGTAGTGCAGTGTGTTTATTGTTGTTAGGCAGTGGCATAGCATTCAACCAATAAATAAATGATTTACAAATGTTATAAATATATCTCTTTAACAACTTTAAACTTCCACAATAAGAATTGAGTATATTCTTTGTAGTATTTACAAAATTTAATTATCACATAACTGCTGGTAACTGAATCAAACGTCTTCAGAAAGCAAATGTTTATTTTGCAATCACTTGGTTTTCTGTAAAGCAACAACAACATAATCTTAGCAGATTCCAATAAGAAGCTATTCATAGTAGCTAGAATAAAAGAAAATAGTTGGATATTGAAGGCTAACACATCAGTCCAGGAGGAGGAAATTCATACACCAATGGAAGTTGTACAAGGGTTTTTCTGGACTGAAAAGCTGGCCACTCAGCCAGGCAGATTGGTGTAAATGATAACTAAACCTTTTCAAAGCGTATGCAAATGACTACCCAAATCCAGACCATTCTCCCATCATTTCTGGGCATTGCCAGCTCCTGCATAAAACTTTTCAGTCTGGATAAAACTGTACAATACTTTTTCACACACAGACTTGGATCCTTCTGCTGGATCAAGGCACAAACATTTCTTAAACTCACACTAAGCTTCATCCTGCATTTTGGAGCAACTGGATTTCTTGAGCTCACATTATGTACATTATGTAAACAAGTGGTTCTACAGAATCATTCTAGGGCACTGTTACAAAGAGCCTTCGTTAAAGCATCTCTGGAATTTAGTTTTCTGCCTTTTATGGTTTTGTTTCTTTATAAAACTTGTCAGAAGCACAAAAGTATCACAGAAACTCCCTATGAATTTCTGTGTGAGATACTTTTATACTCTGAACAACAGGCCCCTAAAGAAGGTGCAAAGCAAATCAATTCAAATCATCTTGGTCCTACTAAAGCTAATGTGTTTAGCTAAAACCTTCAGCAAAAAGAATTAAAATCCATTAAGAGAAGGGTCTGCTATGGTTTTTTTTAATACTAGGCCAAGCTATTGTTATGCAGAGATAAAGTCAACAGACCTAGGGTTGCTGTACAGCTTTTCTCATTTTGTATAAATTCAGGAAGGGTTAGATCTTAAATTACCATACTTGCTGATAGCTGAAAGACATTTTTATGTAGTTTGTAACCCCTTGGGGAACAATTACAGCTAAAACAGAGGTTTTTCAGATTCAGTATTTTAATGTCTGAGACACTTTCTCAGATGACGCCACAATGCAGCTTGTGCTAGTTTTTGTTAGTGTTCCATGAGGGTTAATTTTACAATTATATTTATGTACCATTTTAATTCAAGGATTAGCGTTAGGGGTTAAACTTACAGTTACTTACAGTTTAAAATAATGGCTAGCTAATCTAAGACACCTGACACAAAAAAAGAAAATAAGCATATTCAGAAACCAGTTCTCTTATGCTTTTACATAATGACCAGACTGAATAGTTGTTGCAAGAGTTAGTTGTGGGTAGGTGAGTAGCTGCAAACTGCACCTAGTCTAAGCCAAAACAATCTAGGGCAGTGATGGCGAACCTTTTAGAGACTGAGTGCCCAAACTGTAATCCAAAACCCACTTGTTTATCGCAAAGTGCTAACACTACAATGAAACCTGAAAACTGAGGTATTAGTTTAGAAAAAACAATTCACAGCCAGTCCAAGCAAATATGTATATATCCTTGGCAGCTCTCTGACAGGCCATGCGAAAGCTTGGATGAGTCACGGTTAATGAGTCGTGGCTCGTAATGTCATCACCCGGCGCTGCTACTTCTTTCCGAGCATGCACATGGCCCCTGTGTGCGCTGTTATTTGATGCTCGGCTGCTGGGGCAATGCTGGGATGACTTGGCTCATGTGCTGACAGAGTGCCATAGGTTCGCCACCACTGATCTAGGGGCACTTGCTGTCTCAACTCTTGGACAAACTGGAGTGCAGGGGAACAGTTGGCTCCAGCTAAACCCATGGAGTCTTACTTTCTCAGCTCACTCAAGTGCAGCCAAGACTGAATGCTTTTTGATGCATTACTGCAATTACTTATGCTGGTTAATCCAACCTTATTACTTACTACAATGGAAACAGCTTGCTAAAAACAGTTCTGTTAATTCAACTGAGACTCTGTATGCAAAGAAAGTCTTGCTACCTTTACTTTGTGACTCTCTACAAAATATTTTGTAGTACTTGGATTATGAGGGAAAGGTATATCTACTTGATAAACCGTATTATTTCAGTCATGTTCATGACTAGTTATGCATGAAGCTGCTATTCATTTTCTATTTATAGTCAGCTAAGTAATTCATTAATACTTATTTTTAAACCAAGAAATCCCAGCACTCCCAATGCACAACTATTAAAATGAAGGGAACAACTTTCTGTACCTTTTTCTTTCTCTTTTTAGTTGGACCATTTCTGGACCAACTCCTGAAAATTTCTTTGAAAGTCACTGATGAAATCTGTGGGGTCACCTTGATTTTTAAGCGTGGCATTTTTTCTGCAGAGACAAAAATCTGTGAATGATGATGCAGTCCTAAATGAGATGAGCATGGGCCTTCTAACTCAGTGTCTCCTCCTTCACTTTCTATTTATATAAAAGAAAAAGGCACTATACCTGAATTATTTCCCAAAAGTGCTAATTCATGCAATCATGAAGAACAGATGACAGTAAAATGCAAAGGCTTGTCATCTGCATGGGCCCCCTGCTCCATCCCTGGGTTGATTATACATTGATTATTTGCAGTGTTCAATTCACTTTGAGGATCTTAAGAAAGCTAGATGTTACCATTACTATTATGTATGCAAAATCACTTATTTTAAACTTTTCTTACTTCAGTCGTGCCTTATCACAAGGAGCAATGCTTGGTTCCAGATGAGATAGAGAAGTGTTAGTGCAATCCTATGCATATTTACTTAGAATTGAACTGCAGTGTGTTCTGTGGGTTTTATTTTCAGGTAAGCATGCACATGATTGCAGTCTTAATATATGCATATATACACAGGCTTATTTGGATCATCCCACCTTTCTTCCGTTCCTTAATTGCTTCCAAGATCTTGACTGCACACTGTTCTCCTATAGCATTGCCATTGATATCAACTTCCACCAACTGGTCAGAATTCTTGATTAGACTGTGATAAATATGTTAACACTGACAATTACTGCAAGTAGAACATTTCTGTTAATATATAAAATGAAAGTTTTTCAATTGTTGGTCAACAGATTCCAAACAGTGTGAACACATGCAATATGCCTATTCAAAGGCCTTTACTACTTCTGATAGGATATAAGTTTCATTTGTGCATGCAGAGGAATGAATTGGTAGCACAATCCCATGCATGCTTAGACAGAAAAAAGTCTTACAACTCTCAAAATGCCACTCCTTGCCCCCCAGTATCATGCAAATATAAGTGACATTTTATGGAGGTTGGTATGTTTGATATAATTTTGTGGTAATTATATTCAGTATATTTGCCTTACCAAGTCAAAAGCTGAATAAATTCCCAGATCTTTTCTTCACTTTGCTTAAACCTTCCATCTATGGCATTATCAGCCAAATACAGTTTTGTTAAACATGGGCCAGGGTCAAGATCCTTACTTTTTTTCTTTGAGCCTGCAAGCAATATATGCATATAAGAATTTTCTGACGTGCAGCTTTGACAATCAGATGTCGGATGACTGATATAATTGGTGACCTTTTCTTTTTTAAAAATTGAGGAGATGGCAGTTGTTTGATGGGAGACATCTGAATTTGTGATGGAACTGGTACATTGTGGTGTAGTGGTTAAGAACATGGGACTGGGACTCAGGCGATCTGGGTTCTAGTCCCCGCTCAGCCATGGAGCCAACTGGGTGACTTTGGGCCAGTCACAGACTCTCAGCCCAACTTACCTCACAGGGTTGTTGTGGGGATAAGATGGAGGAGGAGAATGATGTAAGCTGCCTTGAGCCCTTTGTAGGAAAAAGGCAGGATATAAATCAAATAAATAAATAAATAAATAAAATTTTCCCAATAAAATCTTTCTGCTGCCTTTACAACTTTTTCAATCTACCTTTCTTGTGGGCCCAGGGCAAAACTTTTTAAGGTTGTTACTATGGGACTTCCTCGTAGATATTTGAGTTGTAGGTTTAGGGCTACTTTATGCAACAAAATCTGTGCACTAAGAGGACCTCTGTGTATACCATAATGTACTGCATCCATTAATTGTCCCATACAGTGACCACATGGCTGCATATTTTTGTGGGGTATATACCGAGCACATCCTTGGGAAAACATGGCCCATTATGATTTCCCAGCACATCTTCATGAAGAAACAAAATTCACATTTTTCATGCATAATCTAGTCACAAATTAGCTATTGGTTGGGATCACAGAAATTACAACCTACGCTGAAGGTTCAATATAGTTTGAATGTGTGTTGTCATTGATCCATAAGCGGTTGTATAAGCCCAGCTACACTAATTATGGTTTGTTGATCATGAACAGCCCAAACAACCCATCGTTCACAACTAAACTGAACAAAAAACGCATATGTTCTCTTTGTGGATTGTTTATGGTTAACCATCCTTGACTTGGGTTCACACATCACAGCAATCCACTCATTAATGACAACCAACAGTTCAAAACAGCCCACCCTTAGTCCATACTCAGGATTTTGAGTGTGGCTTGTTGCATTGCATGAACCCAGTCATTATGTATTTACAGAAGTGCTTTTCGCATAGCTATTTTGACTACTGTGAAGTTGCCCTAAGCAAGGTCAACTTCTCATTTCAAACTTATGGTGGGATGAGGTGGGGAGAAATCTCACTTGTTTGAATCCTCTTCCACACAAAAGTACTTCCACATACAAAACTACCTATTAGTGCATTAGACAAAAAGGTTATAAAGCTGCATTTTCTGCGCGGAAGGGGTGTGTGTGTGTAAACTGTGTGAGCTCCTCCATATCTGCAATCTAATATCTGAATACAGGTTGAACACCTTGGTGAGGCCATTAGTAGCCCAAAGGTTAAATAATAAAGGAGCGAAGAAGGACTAGGAGACAAATAATCTTGAATGGAAGGACTTCTGGGCAGGAAATGGATCACCTCCATATTTCTATACAGTGCCCAGCATATTGTTGACAACAAATCAATATTAAGTAGAACCACAGCTGTCATGATACACATTAGCTTAATTTTATGATCTTGATTGTCTTATTATTTAACCATACCTTTTCTTTTCTTTTTCTTCCCAGTGTTTTCTAATATGTCAGTTTTGGAAGCAGCATTCAAATGGGCAACTTTTGAATGAATACCTGCATCTTGATGTGCTGCTAGGAAAAAAAACTATATAAAGAAAATGATAATTTGCTCTCTTTTGATTGATGGGTAGGGTCCATTAGATATATGGAGTATTATACAGAATTTCAGAATTTCAGGGTTTTACAAATAAGTATGGAGGAAGGGGGAGAATTAAAAACTGTGAAGTCAAAAAGAAGAATTCATTGTCACTTTTTGCATTTGATTTCCTTATATCCATGGTGTTTACAGTTCTTCCCCTACCCAACACAGATACACAACCACCATATTGTACTGCATTATTGTTGCTTTGTCCTGTCAAGTCATCTCTGAGTTATGGCAACCCTCCAAAATGTCCTGTCCATGACAGCTCTGTTCAGCTGTTGTAAATTCAAGGCTGTGCCTTCCTTTATGGAGCCAAGCCATTTCATACTTGGCTTTCCCTTTCTTTTTCTGCCTTTGACTTTCCTGAGCATGATATAAATCAGATATTCCATGTAATACTCCATTGCATGGCTGTTTTTGCTGTGATAGACTTAGCTTGGCTCCTTCTGGAAATTTTTAGAAGGTATTCTCAAATAGTTTCTACTTGATTCAGATACCAATAGCCACTTCAAGAACCAAGTGATTACTTGATCCCACCAAAATGGTGCATTAATGCATCCACAGGATTAGTTGACGAGTCTGGCAGTATCATGAACCAGCCAGCAGTGGATATGAGAGCCAGCGTGGCATAGCGGTTAAGAGTGCTGGACTGCAGAGCTGGGATGATCTGGGGTCTAATCCTCACTCAGCCATGAAGCTCACTGGGTGACTTGGGGCCAGTCACAGACTTTCAGTTCAACCTACCTCACAGGATTGTTGTCATGAGGATAAAATGGAGCTATGTAACCTTTGTGAGTTTCTCACAACAGGAAAAAAGGCAGGATGTAAATGTGATGTAATAGAGGATGGTGATATTGCTGTTCCTAAAGATCTTTAGCAAAGATGAGTCAGCAGCTGGAGGTGGAGTAGACAAGATTTTTGTATGTGTACTTTTCATTGGGCTTTATGGCTTAACCCACTCCTTTCTGTACTACCCTTTATACTAGAACAGAAGGAGAAGGCTGAAGCACTGCCCTTCCCCCCAGCAGCTTAGTAGCAGGAGCGCATGGAAATGTAATAAAACTGAGTCTTGCCACTCAACAGATTGAATGTATATTATGCATGTGCACAATAATTACATTAATGAGCTACAGTAAATCCATGCCGTCCCTTTGCACTGATCTAAAGCTAAAAATAGAGATTCTTGTAAAGTTTTCACCATTCATTCTTTATGCAAAGCAAAAGCTGTGAATTCGCCAACATGTGACATCAGGTGGATAACAGTTGATTTTAATACTGAGCCAAATAATTGTATTCATAGCATACTTTACTCTGAATGACTCTATACCTCACTAGACCCTTAAAATAATCTGATCTAAGATTTAAAAATGGCATTCACGATTTCTTTCTTTATTCCCCCTCCAATTCTCTTTATAACTTTGATTATAAGGCCCAGTCTTAGAAATAGAAACTACATGGATATGTGAATCATATCCTGTAAACAGTGTTATTAAAAGAGGCATATCAAGAACTCATTATATATGTGTGTTTTTGTGTGCACAATATATAGCTTTAAAAAAAGCAGTTCATGGCTTCTAAGCGAAGCAAATAAACCCATACTTTTGATTTAATATTATATGAATAAACAACAAAAGATCATTCTACCTCCAATGGTTGGGTGAGGAGCATCAGCACCAGACACTGAAGCATTTCTTTCCTTTTCTTGGCCAAGGCGTTCGGCATACTCAGCTATTGGTTTGAGGAGTTGGATGGCACCCAGACATTGCAAGTGATTACCATTAAGAAATAGGTTGCTGTGATAAACAATATTTAAAAGATTTATTGGTTATATAGAAGAGTAACTGAAGACTGGATACAGATTTCTGCTGGATCAGTAGCACTGATAGAAGTAGACTACCCCCCCTGAACATGCTACATGGAGTCAGGAGATCTGCAGAATGGGGTGAGCTGGGTGTGGGGTCTGGCCTTCCCCACCAGAGCCCTTCCTCTTGCACAAGGCAGCTCCGGGATCCAACTCTACACTTTAGTCATTATAACTGAATATAACACTTAATTCTAAATGAGATGTAGGGTCTTACCAGGTAATTAGAAGTAATTATTTCCCCAAATATATTCTATATTCAGTAGCAAGGTTCAGAGATTATGCCTTTGACCCCCAAACAAAGACTTTAGAAATAACAAATGTATAACTCTCTCTGTCTTCATTGATCGTATTCCTTCACTATTAAAATGTTGCACTTAAACAGATTCTGTTTCCTTTGGAAGAAGATCACTGGAGGCTAAGGGCACTTTAAAATATTTTGAACTGATCTGCAAACATACAAGTTGAGAATAGGTGGAAGCTGTTTTTAGCAGGTGTTTGCCTCCCTCTTTTTCTTTCCAGCAGACTCACACAAAACTTTCTAAGTCCAATCCTTTTATTAAAGCATAATAAATTGCAAAATAGTATACATAAAAGTAGTGTTCTTGAGATGTGGAAGAAGCATCTGTTTATGTTGAATCCAAACACAAAATTTTTCTCCTCCTCATACTTTCAGGAAAGCTTCTGACTCCACCCTCAAGATGGCTCCTGCTACCTAAGAGAGGGATGGTGGGATTGCTAGATTCTTAATTGGTCTGCTCATTTTGCATGTTGTCCCTTGAAACAGCTAAGGAACTCCCTCTGAATCTACTCTCCCTCCTTTTCCAAGTTGGACTGGTTCTCATGCTGTCTTTAAGAATCTTTACTAGGCAGCCATGAAACTGTAGAGTTATCTGCTCAATTCTGCCCCTCCACCTCTTCCTCAGAATTGGACACACCTCTCTGAGCAGACTGTAATATGCGAGAGCTGGGCCACCTCTCTGCAGAAACACAGTTTAAACACTCCAAAGTCAACTGCCCCCCACATCAGATTTCTAAAGAGGTTGCCTTATACTGAGAGCATCCATTGAGCCATCAAGTCCAGAAACATTGATATTGAGTGACATGAGGCAGTTTCTTCAGAGTTTCACATGGGAGTTTTTCTAGCTCTATATAGAGAAGTCAGGGATAGAAACAGTGACCTTATGCGTGCAAAGCTGTATGCTCTACCTCCAGTATATCTTTAGTATAATCTCTCTCTTTAGTATATATCTATAGTAAAGATATACTATATCTTTAGTATAGATAAAATATTAAACCATTAGTACTTTAGTATTACATGAAAGAGCCTCGGACAGTCACTCTACACCCTTCCCCCTCCTTCAGGGTAGCCATGAAGAAGAGATTAGTACTACTTCTGTTTTTCAGTAAAGAGTTTATTATGTCTGAAAAAGGACAAATTGTTGTTATAGTATGGTTCATAGAACAAGCCAGGATCAAACTATGGGCTACAATCTTGGCTTGTTTCAACAAACCAGAGTTTAAATCTGTATCAGTAGCTTGTGGCCCTCCATATGTTTTGGTCTAAAATTCTCATCAGACTTAGCCAACATAGCCAAAACAGTTGGAGAATTATGAGTTTTTCAAACTCTGGTTTAAACTAAGCTGAATTTTCTGTTCAGGTAAAATGAGAAACTTCAGTTAGTTTAAACCAGGAAGTGGATGCTTCTAGACTCCTCATGGCCATGGTGAAAGAGGAGAAAGAGGAGCCTGAGGTTAGCTGCTGTGTATTTACATACTAATACATCTTCCACAACACACACAAATCCTTAATAATAAAACTTACCAAATAGCTGTTTGGATTACAAGGGTTGCTAATGTTGAGCCACTTTCTGATCCTAAATCACAGTAGCAGAGGCTAAGTGTTAAAAGCTTTCTGTTCCCCTCTAATCCAGAAATAAGTCTACTGACACCATTATCTCCACATCTGTAAAGAGGTAAATTAGACAGGTCTCATCTTCAAAGAAGGATGTCTACTAGTATCTTAAAATATAAAATTATCCAACCAGTATCTTACATTAGTTTGATCTAATTGTATTACCTCATAGTTAGAGCCAGCTTAATTTAAGAGGATAAGTTTACCAAATTTAGCAGAGTTGCTTAATCCTTGTAGCTGCCACTACACTACCATTATTTTTATATAGACAGATGGGGGACTTGTACACACTAAAAGGGAATAAGAACATAACAGCGATGTTGGATTAGGCAAGGGTCTGTCTAGTCCAGTGTTCTGTTAACACAGTGGCCAGTGAGAATCCCATAAGCAGGACATGAGGGCAAATAAGACCTCCTGTCCATGTTCCCTAGCTTCTGCTGTATGTCAGCTCACTGCCTCTGATACTGAAGGCAGCATGTATCCATCAGTACTAGTAGCCACGGGTACATGGAGTAGACATAAAATCTATGCATCTCTTTTATATTTAATGTGTTTAAAGATGGGACTAGAAGAGGGAGTTATTCTCAGAAATTATTCTAAATAGAGTAAAACCAAGTGCAAACAGAATCTGCTGGCACGTTTGAACTTTCTATAGTCCAGAGAAGAAGATAAATCTTAACCCACACCAAAAAAAAGTTTATTCATGCAAACACCAAATCAAACTTAAGACCAGTTTTTAATGACGAAAGAAAGAAAGAAAGAAAGAAAGAAAGAAAGAAAGAAAGAAAGAAAGAAAAGCAACCAAGCAAAGTCAGGTGGAATTCTGATTCAGCTAGAGATGGAAACTGTTATTTCTATGTACTGTGTTGTAGAGCTAATGTATACATTACCTTCTTAATGTGGAGCGCCCCTTTGTTCACAATGATATGGACATGAGGCCAATAATGGTGTATTTGTGAGTGAGTGAGTGAGTGAGTGAGTGAGTGAGTGAGTGAGTGTGTGAGAGAGAGAGAGAGAGAGAGAGAGAGAGAGAGAGAGAGAGAGAGAGAGAGAGAGAGAGAGAGAGAGAGAGAATAAAGGATAATGGCCTTTTCAGATGTGACACAATATTCCTTGCAATTTGATTTCAGAATTATAGGCTGCACGTGTGCTACCAGTCAGAAAATATTATGCAGCAATTACATCCTTTGCCCCTTAACAAATTTTCTGCATTAAGAGAAAGATGGAAGAACTGTTGGGAAAACACAGGAGGGTTATGAGTGGAAGGTGGCAATAACAGGACTTTATATAAAATTCCTTAAATGAAGTGGGAATGAATAAATGAAAGCCATATCTATAAGCAGTCAAAGTTGGTTGTTTTCCAAGAAGCTAGATAATTTACAATTTGCTGCCAGATTTAAGTAGCAAACCAGTATGGAGGCTTTAAAAACAAATTTAACTTAAAAACAAGCTAAATGTGTCCTTTTAAAGCTAATTATTTTTGTGGGGGTGGGGTGATGACATCTGAGATGGAAAACAGCCCTTGCACCCCCTGCCAATGTTGCTTGCCCCTCCACTGCTTCCTAGTTGATAATCCTTTTGCTACAATGCTTCTACCATATTTGTTTCCCCAGATCTTTTTTGTTTGTATGTTTTTAAAAGCTGCTGCTAAATGAATAATTTATTTTCCTTACTTGGAATAATCCAATACAAGAGAACTCAGATTACTGTAAGGCAAAGCAACTCCAAGTCTTTCCATGGTCCAGAGGTCTAATGCATGATGAGTTATTTCTAATTTGGAAAATGGATAGATGGTACGCCCATCCAGTTCTAGTAAGATTGCCTGAATACATGGATAAAAATAACAGGAACAAAGATGTATCAAAGTGAGTAACACTATATGAATTTCTTTTGCTGCTTTGAAACAGTTTTTATTTAGTTTGGGGTGCAATCCTTTCCATGTTTAGACAGAAATAAACTATAACTTCCAGCCATGCTGGCTTGCACCTTAAACTTCACTACAACCAAAGCAACAAATTCATTACTCCCAAAGACTAAAATTCCATGCCTAACTGCAAAGCATGAATATGATCTTCTGTAATATTCTTCAGTTTGAATGCAGATAGGAGACCCTTATAGTTTATATAAGTTCATTCTAATGTTAACATACCCTTCCCCAACCATGGCCTTCTGGGTATATTGGATTACAACACTCAGCATTCCTAACAGCGCCAGCTTGGGGGAAGGCTACCATATAGTCTAGAATGGGGACCCACTGAGGAATAATTCACACAGAAGCATATTCTACTGGCCAGAACAACCATGAAAAGCAATTGCTCAAACTATGATCGTTTTTTCACCCAGTTATTTCTGGGTCAGCTAGATGAAATTAAAATCAATACAGTGCATAAAATTAGAACATTTCTGGTCTGGAAAGAAGGCCATTGCTTCAAATGCTTCTGAGATTGTAGTTGTGGTTATATGTAGATACTATATTTCACATTGTGGTACTGAGGCTTCTACAACTGACACTGTGATTCCATTTACAGCTGACTTTGATTAAACTTACAAGGTTTGCAATATCTTGAGGACTTAGCTTAATTCCCCAGATACAGAGCTCCCTTCCCAGCTGATACCGTTCATCTCGAATAGTCCTTAGTAAAGGAGTAAGAGAAACTGGATGCAAATTTCCTGATAAGGGTTCCACATTTGTAAGCACGAACTAGGGAAGAAAATGCAAGGTTTAGCAACAAACTCTATCACTAACATAAAATTTCTATTAGCATAGTTTTGAGAAGATCCAAAACCACATGGAGTTATGCAATTTTCAATGGTGTAATTTTTCAAATTCGTCTTAGGTGTAGGACATAGTAAAGGAATGAAAACATATGTTGATAAATAATGACAAAAAGCTGAAAGAGTACCAAATTACAAGCTTACTGCTATACTACTAATAAAAATAATAACATTACAGTTTCCTAGTTGCCCTTCTCTTAGAAAATATCTAAGGTGATTTACAATAAAATAATTAAAACATTGAAATAATGAAAATCATTTTTTCCATTAAAAATGCCAAACAAAATGAAACAACTAGTACAAACATAACCAAAACAACTGAGGCATCCTAAATTCATTGCCTTCAAATGCCTGGGAAAAGAAGAAAGTTTTGAGCTGGTGCTAATAATATGACAGGGATGGAGTCAGTCAGGCATTGCTTGGGAGAGGATTCCATAGTCATGGAAGTACATGAAAATGCCCCACCTTATTGTCTTTCTAACCTTCCTTGGAGAGCCTCAGATGCTGATTACAGTATTTCCATGAATAACTGTGCCTTTGGCATTCCTTCTTATTAATTCTTTCATTTATTACATTTACATACTGCCTTTCCCCTACAAAATGTCTCAAGGTAGCTTGCAATATAAAGCACAAAAATGCAAATACAAAATTATAATTACAATATAAAAGAACACATCAATTAAATTAAGAAACAAGCAGCACCCATCAATTAAAATCTACTTTAGCAAACAGGTCACATTAAAAATGAAAGGTCTATCAGAATAAAACTGTCTTTGGTCTATGTTTTATGTCTTTCTGGGGGTAGGCAGTCATACCTTCCTTTGCTATAGAAAAACAGTCTACAAAGCTTCAGATAAGATCCATTTTAGCAAGTTGCAAATAAAGTGGCGGGAAAAAAATCCAGGTTTGCTTACATTAGGGAAAAGGGCAATAGAGTTGTTTATCTGACAGTTCTGTGTTGCCCTCTAAAGGGGTATTTTAGACACATTTAGAATTCAAGCATGGATTTTCTAATATTCTGTCTTCTTTTCAATGGCATGTGAAATTGTTGTATTTAATTCATATAATTAGTTACCTTAGTAATCAATGTTTCATTTGCTATGCATTTCCGTAAACCATGTTTGATAGTCTGACTGACACAACTTTGTGATTCCATACAATGCTTTTCATATGTTTTCAGGAACTTTTCAAGAATATAGACATCTGAAACTGTTTTCGCTTTTGCTTTCCCTTTTAGCTTTGGCATAACTTTGTTTCCTATGGATTTAGCTGCCACAGAAAGCTGAAGCTGGAAAAAAAGTTAAAAATATTTAAAAAGTCTTTTGCAACTGTCCTCTTGGAGGTTAAGTAGCAGTTGAATCTTTCACAGGTATGAAAAACAAACACTACAAATTTGCAGATTTTACCTAAATAAATTATACCTTTATATAGATTAACATTCTATAACAAAATTAGGAACTAAGGAAAGAAGCTAGATGGACAAATAACCTGGTAGGTATAAGGTGGCTTCCTACAGGTAGCCATGTGCTCTGTTTATGGAGGACAGTCCTCTGTTTGAAGGCATGTTTTAATTTTTTAAAAAGCTGTAGAAGAATAGTACCTCTTAATGGTTAGCACCAGCACAGAAGTCTGAGAAGGCACAAAGATCATCCAGCCACAATCTTCCCCACTATGCCAAAATGCATTTTATTTCTGTTTAAATAATAAGGTTTTTTTTATAGCAGACTGGGGAATAGGGATCCAACCTGTGCTTGGAAGAGCTTACATGGATGCTCAGGCCTTGGCTGTGGCCATGAGTATATTTGCATAGCTGAGGCTAGTGCATGAACCATGGCAGCTCCTAGAGACATCTTATTTGGCCATGGTCACACATGCCTCAATTATATCTCACTTGGACTTCTGTAAAGCAGTGTACACAGGTCTGCCTTCCAAAGCATCAGAAATGTCAGCTGGTTTACATGCTATGGGCAGACTGTTGATTCATCACAGTATGCACACAACTCCCTTGTCTACAGTAGCTTCACTGGCTCTTGGTCTGCATCTGTGTAGAATTCAAAGTACTGCTTATGACCTGTAAAGTTTTCTATGGCTTGGGCCAGGATCCCTGAAAGTCCACCTTCTCATATATGAGCCTGGCCAGTCTTTAAAGATCTTCTGGAGAGGTTCTTCTTTCAGAGCTGTATTTGGTGATGGCATGAGAGAGGACCTTCTTGGTTGCTGCTCCCATGCTGTTTAGCTACCTCCCAACTGAGGCTACATTTGCTTTCTCTCTGCTATTCTTTCAACATCAAGTAGCTTTAGTTAAGAGAGCTTTTGACCCATTAATTGGTCTTTGGTTTGGGTGCACTTTCTCTGATTATTACATTTATATTGTATTTTAATGTGGTTCATTGCTTAAATCTATTTAAAATTGATCTTATAGCCTGCATTCTAGTGCTATTTTTTCTTAGAAAGGCAGGGTTTAAATCAAATAAAACATATTTTTAAAATTGCATGTTAAATTATCATATGCATGGGCAGAAGGTAGAACCTGCTCAGATTTTTGGACAGTTTTCAGTAGATCAATAAGGATAGCTGATCCTTAGTAATTTAACAAGAGCAACAACAAATGACCCAAATTATACTGTCAAAATGAAGAAAATGTGAAAGCGAAGTAATGCTGATGGTTTGTGCTCTTGTATGGTTGTGCAAATATGGACTTGGTTGTAAATATAATTACTGTTTTTGCAGAACATATTATATTATTTATTTAGGATATTTCTAGGCTGTCCATCACTTTCGTCTCTGGATGGCTTACAATAAAATCTATAAATACAGTGTACATATCCCAAAAATAATAAATTAGATTAGTAAATTAGTAAGAAAAGCTGGATTAGAATCAAAGGAAGCAGTGAAACTTGGTGGAAAAAACATCAACAATTTAAGATACATAGATGATACCATGCTACTGGCAGAAAACCGCAATGAACTGACTCCTTATGAAAGAGGAAGGAAAAATGCAAAAGCAGGACTGCAGCTGAATAGTAAGAAAATAAAAATCATGACTATAGAAGAATTACACAAGTTTATTATTATTATTATTATTATAACATTTCTATGCCGCCCCTTGCCAAAGTTTACAGTTGATGATAAAGAAATTGAAATTGTGAAATATCCCTTAGCTCAGTCATCAACTCAAATGGAGACTGCAGGCGAGAAATTTGAAAAAGACTAAGTCATGGAAGGGCAGCAATGAAGGAATGAGAAAAGATAATCAAGAGTAAGGATGTTTCACTGGAGACCAAGATCATCCATGCTATTTTATTTCCAGTTACCGGGTATGGCTGTGAAACCTGGACAGTGAAGAAAGCTGACAGGAAGAAAATCGATGCATTTGAAAGACGGTTTTGGAGGAAAGATTTGCAAATACCCTGGACTGACAGAAAGACAAACAAGTGGATACTAGATTAAATCAAGCTAGAACTTTCCCTAGAAGCACAAGTGACAACACTGAGGCTGTCACACCTTGAGCACATCATAAGGCAAAACCCCCTGGAGAAGATTGTCATGCTAGGGAGAGTCAAAGGCGGAAGAAGAAAAGGAAGACCACATATGAGATGGATTGATGCCATAAAGGAAGCCACGACCATGAATTTAAGAGCTGAACAAGCCTGTCATGGATAGGGTATTTTGGAGAAGAGCTTTCAAGCATAGGGTTGCCATAAATCAATTCTTGTTGTATTTTTCCTATTGAATAAGTAGATGCCTTGTGAGGGCAGATGCTCTAAAAGGTGGGATAGAAATAAATAAAGCAAACACTACAGCAATAACTAGTTAAGAGCTACCAATGGGCAGTATCCAACTGGGTCATTCTATTAACGCATGTGACATTGTGCCAATGGAAACTAGGTTCCAAACTATGCACAAGAGGAGAATCCAACTGAAGTTATGTTTGTGCAAGTGGCTGTGCGAAAAGTTATATAAGCATAATCTGCATGCATAATGCACAAATACTTGTGCAACAGAAGCATTTGGAGGAGCTCTGCTAGCAGTATTTGAATCTGCAGAATGACACTATAAAGAGTAGTTGTGCTGGACCAAACTGAGTTCATCTGGCTCAGCAACAATAGTTTCCCTAATTGCCAAACAGATGCCTCAGGGAAGTTTGCTAGCAGGGCCTCGAGTTAATAGCCTTCCCAGAAAATGGTGATTACTGGCATACTGCCCCCACTCCTGGAGGGTTCAGAAAACCGTTGTTTTCTTAAGTATTCTTAAGGATACTGGTAATGAGTTAACCATTTTAGTATAATGATTAAAGCATTTGTTGTTCTCTAAGTCTCTTTATGGAAATGATGTTCAAGCATTTGTTATCTATGAAGCAACAGGGCAAGGCCCTTGTTCATCCCCCAACATCCAAGAGCCTAGTCACAAATTTTCAAGCATGTAAGAACAGTGAAAGGTAATTGAATGCATCAGAGCTGGGATGGGCAACATGGTGCCATCCAGATGTTTTGGATTATAATAATTCCGTATTCATTTATCCATGGATGTTGATGGTTGGAGCAGAAGGAAATTGTAGTCCAAAACATCTAGAGGGCCCCCAGTTTGTCTATCCTTGTACTAAATGGAAAAAGATCCTCTGTTGGTGCTGAATTCGGCCCATTGTTGCATATGAATACTGCCATTCTTTTTCTTCTCTCTAAAGTAGAATTTACTTCACAGAACATGTTCAAAACGCTGGTTCCACCTGCCCCTAACACATTTCCAGTGTCCTAACCAGATTTATTAGTCCGAAACACCAACCAAGGGTGGAATTCATTCTATATCAGCAGCGCAGGCTGCCATGGCAATACCAGATCTAAACTGAACCTAAATAGTCTGTGAACACAACAGTTACAACTTTCTCCATCAATAGATCAACAGTTCGTGATTCTGCTACAAGAAGCAACCTGCTCTATCACAAATCTACATGTGTATATGAATAACACACTAACAAATCAGGTCCACCTGGTAACAGTTCAATACAGAGTTACTGTAGGCATGCTTAAGCCCATCAACATTAATGAGGTCAAGGTTATATATTATGTGCAATTATACGTGTCTCTTCACTGATATTTACTCCTCCTCTGCACAAAGCTGCCAAATACACTGCAGCCAATTCAGACCAGGATGAGTGTATGCCACTTGGTGTCCTCCAGATGGTTTACAATTCCTATAAACCTTAAACAGTATGGCCAATAGTCAATGATTTATAATCCAAAACATCTGGAAAACAGCAGATTATCTGAAGGGCAAAGTGGCTGCCTCACTCTTTCATCTCAGGCCATTTCCTGGCTCACTTCCTTAATTCAGGCTGGTTGAATGGGTTGGGAGGAGTAGGAGTAGGGGATGGGTGCCCATTGTGTTTTTTCAGCAGGGTGGAAAGCAGCTTGAGAGAGGGCAGAAGAAATGCTGGGTCAATTTTTTAACAACATGTTTTAGATTAAACATTAGGAAGCACTTCCTGATAGTATGAGCTGTTTGACAGTGAAACACAGAGTAGAGGATGGATGCTTAGTTTTTTAAATTAGTTTCTTTTTTTAAATGGAAGCTCAGTAGCTAACAGGTGTTACCTCACAACTTGCTATTCCACTATTTTCTGATATGGTAGTCTGTGTCTGGGAAAGGAAGCTTATTTTCACTTTGAAAGAGCTTGCTATTTTAAAAGGCAGGCCTGGCATTCAAAGTAAAGGTATATGACACAGGGTCATCTCGCTCTCTGGCATGTCCATTGCTCTCCAGACTGAATACCTTACCCTTGGCTATTATTTGCAAAATTGAAGTTATCTTCTAGATGCCTATGGGTTGAAAGATAAATACTTTCATCAGTCTTACATTTTTACCATCAAAATGTTGAAAGACATGCTTTTGATTGTATTATAAATCTCCCTACCCACTCTTTCATGCACACACATATGGACCCCTCTCTTTATATTAGCCACTCTTAACAAGTACTGTTTTTAAGTCATTGTGATTTATTACCACTTCAAAGTTAGCCCCTCACAGAACCATTATTAGCCCACAGATGCAGTTGGTGCCCTCAGAGTTTCTGCATCTCATAGTCTGGCTAGCAGTGTGGGGCACTCATATTGCAGCACCCACAGCTGGCTTCTGCTCTTGACCTCACTCTTTACAAAGCGAGTTAAAACTGATCTTCAGGAATTGATGTGGGATTCTTTCCCTGACCCTTGGAATTGCTACCACTCCTTCTTTGACTTCTGTGGAAGTACAGCAGCAGGTACAAGGGCAGTGGTGAGTTTACAGATTTCATATAGATTGTCAGGTAAGAGGAGATTGCTTTGCTTTGTTTGCCAAGTAGGAGAAAGGTATTGTACTCACTTTAAGTACAGCAGCTGAAATCCAACACCCTGAAGTATCACAACGTAGTTGTAAACTTCATGAATTATCAGAAGAGTTGAGTATAGGTCCCTTCCTCCTTCACCCTTTGGAAATTCTCTGAACTTTTTCTGTTGTCCAAACCACTGGAATGTTTTCAGGTAGCTTAGCAACTGTGGAACAGGGCTGAGGAGCAGAAAAAAGCCTTGTTGTATTTAAAGAGTCACGAATCACATCTTGAATCGTAGTTCATCATATTTATTCATGGCAATTTAATCTGAGTTGTCTAAATAAATGAGGAATGTGAGAAAGTGGGGCCAAGTGTGCAAAAGATGGAAAAGATGAGAAGGATTTTTAGTTTATTTTGAAGACTACTTTAAGTATTTTGTATTTAACTGAAGTAACCTCAGATACATTCATGACCAAATTATGTCTCTAGTTCAATCATTAAATTGAAAGCACATGTTCAAGCCAGTGCAGTATAATGATTAGAGTGCTTGGACTAAGTTCTAGTTCTTACATGGCTGTGAAGCTCATTTCATGGTGTTAGGGTAATCACTGAACTTCCATCTAATTTACCTTACAGATTTGTTGTGCAGATAAAAATGGAGGTGAAGCTGACCATATAAGTCACCTTGGGTTCATCTCAAAAGGAAACAAAGTTGAAAAAAGGGTGATAGCACTGAATAGAAATAAATGTCAATAATTCTAATATCTGAGCAGAATTCAATAAAATATGATTTGATAAACCACTGAGCAGGAAGTTGTAAAATGACTCAATTGCAGATTCAAGTGAAATTGCAGGTTGGTGCTTTAATGGTACAACTATTGATATGCCATGTCTACACCTCAAAGCACCTCAGTAACATTGGGTTCACCTAAAACCTGTGTAGCTACCGCACAGTTACCTTTTGTACCTTGTGTCCTGTGTTCACACATCCCTGGGGTACCAACTCCCAACTGGACTCATTGTGGCTCCAGATGGTGGCATGTATCCCTTCAGCCCCTGTGGCTGGGAACCAGTCTCGGTGTGCACCACTCCTGCCTGCATTACCTGCTCTCCTCCATTGCTCTGCATGTTCCCCTGGGTATATTCTCAGCCAGTTTCCACTCCCCCAACACCTTGCCCAACAGAGCCCCTGTCTGCTCATTAGAGTGCACTGTGGCTCCATGGTTGCTTCTTCCTGCTCTCCCTCCCTGCATACACTCCCTGATGCCCAGCTGCCCCAACACCCCATGTTCACCACCTGGCCAATCACCCTCTTAGCACACTGCCTGGCTGACTGCCTCCCTTCCTGCCACCTGGCTGGGGAGCCTGCCTCATGGGCTGCCCGGCCACTTGCCTAGATGTCCAGGTCCTGCAGCAGCACCGTGCTATCCCTTGCAAGCGCCATTCATGCAAGCTGCCTCACACTGTCCCCATGTTCCCACCCTTCATGCAGGACATATGGACAGTGCACAAAAGTTCATGCAACAGGAGGGAAGTGGGGAGCTCACTGGTCAAAATGGGGAAACAGTGGAAAACCATTGTAATGAGCTTCAAACATAATAGGAAGCAGTGTGGAAACCTTACAACAAGCCAGTGACTCTCCATAGTGATTAACAGCAACCAAAGGTCCCACGTTTCACCATACTTTTGGTATTCACACACAGCAACAAGCCATGGCTTGTGATTATATGTGAACACAGCCATTAAAATGGGGCATTTCACATGCAAGGAATTGAGAAGGTGATTATCAGTGTAATGTGGGACACAAAATCCCTATTATATCAATGAAAATTTGATTTATAAACATGTAATTCTACCTTAAACTGATTGAGACCATTGGTTCATCTAAACTAGTGTTACTTACTCCAACTGTCCATAGGTCTCCATGGCAGTGGTGGGCATCATACCCCCCCATATGACAAATATACCCCCCATACCTGCAAATGGCTGCAGCTGCCAACATTTGGTGGTGGGCAACAAGGAAATAAGATTTATTTCCATTTTAAAACAGGGCATGGGTGCTGGGCCCTCAAAAGTTTCCTCTGCTCTAGGGTCTCGTGTCCTTCTTCAGGTCTACTATTTCAGATTCTCTGCTACTGAATTATGATCCCTTTCCATACATTCTGGACTATGGAGGATCCCAACTTAAATGCACCACTATTTAATAAATTAACAGATGGTCCAATAACCTAGGCTACCAAAGCTGAATGTATACTTCAGTCCATTAATTTCAATGAGTTTAAACTAATTAAGCTTTGTTGGATTTAGGCAAAAGTAGTTATTTAGGCAAAAGTATGACCTGTTACGATGCTTGCCTATTTACTATTCATTTTAAAACGTGTGAGAAGGAGCCCTCATTTCAGCTCCAGTGGCAAAGGGTCAAGTGAATCATATATATGAGTTAAGCACTCATGCAAGTTTAGAAACAGGGTGACAGTTGACTCTGCTTTTTCCTACCAAAGTAACTTCACTTATCAGTAACCAAACCAAACCACTACCACAATAAACATAAGTTCAAAAGCCAACAAGGGTGTGGGAACTATCTAGTTTATTGCATTGAGTTTACCTCTGCTTGCTGGACAGAAGTCATGGTGTGTGCTTAGTGGAATGAGATCCTGGCTGGCCCTCAAGAGAACAAGTTTGTTCCTTTGAAATTATTGTCACTGAACTGGAAAAACTGAGAGAAGCTGAGAGGTTTGTGATCAAGAAGGTGTAATAGTGACATTCTACTCCCAGGGTGATAGCTTCTCTGTAATAGTGGAGAATTAGGGTCTCTGTGAAGGAGGATATCACATTGTGGACCAAATTAGGTCCGAGTCATGGTGTGCAAAATACCTAAACTACACAACAGAGGAAGGTTTTCTTTTAAAAGATTTATTCACAAGAATAACCAGCTGCCAACCAATCATTCCAGATGGCACAGCTGAGCAGTCCTCAGTTGGCCCTTTCATACATTGACCATTAAAGGGTTACATAACACAGTTAAAACTTTCTAATAGGTTACAGAAGTAAAAAGTTAAAATGGCATGATCTTTCCTGGCTGTATACCAAAGCAGAAAGAAGATGCTCTGAAGGAGGAGAAGAGGATTGTGGGGGTTGGTGTGAACTGCCCTTTGTCTGAGCTGCTGTTATCTGTCAAGTCAACAGGCCCTCTCTGGAATGCTGCCTGGTTAATTTCAGCCACCTTTCAAGGATCCACAAGTTCTGATTTCTAAAGGAGTGTTTTTCTCTAGCTGACCTGTATGTCAAGGATTGCATGATTTTACCTATGAAAGTTATACCTATTGATTTGTACATCAAGATCAAGAGGAATGTTATTCCTCTGAAGGAACCCCAGTCTTCAGAGAATGAACAAATATAATTTCATGTCAAATATGTGCCTCCTGTAGGGCAGGAAGCTCAAGGTTTAACTTCATTTCAAATTTGAGCAGTCTGGGGATTTGGATAGGATCCTTGGAAAGGTGAGATCTTCTGCTTATGAGTTGGATCTTTGCCCTTCCTGGCTTTTAAAAATAGCTGAGGGACTGGATGAGTGGACAAGGATTAAGTTGTTCCCCAGCAAGATTCCATCTTGCCTAAAAGGTGATAGTTTGTTTTTTTTTTAAAGCTTCCTTGCATCCTACTGTTTTAGGTAATTTCTATCCCATCCCCAACATTACATTCCTCACCAAAGTGTGGAATATACGAGTATGGTGGCTTCTCAGCTTTAGGGATTTCTGGATGAGACATATTATTAAGATCCATTTCATTCTGGCTTCACGTGTGTTTTTATGATAGAGACTACTTTAGTCTCAGCTGACAATCTATTCTGGAAATTGAACCTGGACCTCTCAGCAATTTTCCATCATATTGACTGTTATCCTTCTGAGGTGTCTAAGATGGAACTAGGTAAGAGAAATTGGTAGTTCCAGTCATTCCAAGAGGAGCAATTTTAGAAGAAGCTAGTGCTGGGTTCTCAGTAAATGCCAAGGCCATTGGGTTGTATTGCCCCTCAGGGTTCCATGTTAATCTTTTTCAGTAGAGGTTGACCAGAGTTCTCAGGATCTTTTACAACATCAGTATGCTGATGACACACAATTCTATTTTCCTTTCCATTGAAATCAGAGTAGATTGTTTAAGTTCTAAATCAGTGTCTGATGTTAATAATAGACTGGATGAAGGTCTAAGAGAACTATATCCCATTTGTAAGCCATCCAGAAACTTTTAGTATTGGCACAGCATATATAAACTTTAAGGGACTGCAGGTGGCGTAGTGGTTTAAACCGCTGTGCTGCTGGGCTTGTAGATCGAAAGGTCACCGGTTTGAATCTGCACAAAATAAACAAAATATCCCTATAGTGTATTGTCAATGTCCTAGTCCATTTCATCCTCCATGTTTTGTTCCCCCTGCTCCTGTTTATGTCTGTTGCTTTCTTCCACTCCTAGTTGAAACTGACATTCTTCATCTGGTTAGTGACTCCAAGCCTTTATGTTTGCACGAATTTCCCATGAAAACCAAAAACAATGAGAAGGTGGCTGAATGGATGGAGTGAATGGGGGCCTGCACCCGCAATAATTACTCCTGCATTTGATCCATCTGTGCACTGAGTTTAAAAAATTGCTAGAAAGATTTGTGCACATTCATGGAAGTAATCCTAGCAATAATTACTCTGAAAAGGAACTGTGATGGGAAGAGGGGTTATGAGAGCCAATAACTCATTTGTCAACTTCATCAAGATTTGGGGATGTGCCAATGCTTTTCCCACCTAAAACTGTAATTTCAAGGTGTAAAGGTGAAAGGATGACATAGCCAATTAGGAGTTCTTAACGCCTCCTACTAGGTTGGTGCTCCTTTTCAGAGAAATTGCTTCACTCACTCAATGAATTGCGCAAATGGTTTTGTACTTTCTCTTAGTGCTTTCTTCACCTGTCCTTCACACGTGTGCATAACTTAGCCTATGTGCAGTCTAACCATGCCATAATATAGTAACTATTCCACTTTGATGTTTCCCTTCCCAGCTGTCCTTCCCAGCTGTGACATACAAGGAATTTGATAAGGTGAGGCACAGTGGACAGGCAAATCCACTCCCTTGTGCAGGGCCAGGGGAAAAATAATTTTTAAAATTGCAATCCCATTTCCATACTTCCAAAGAACCCAAAATATAAATGAAAAAGGTGGGTCAGCAGTTAACAGTCAGTTGTCAGTCAGCAATCTACATAATCCAAAAAAAGCAGCCTTCTCATTGGAATCCCATATAGTGCTGTGAAAAGCATTTAAGAAAGACAAAAGGAAGAACAGTTAGAGGACATATTAGCAACTAGGAAGAGTCAACACCTAATATTTTCACGTATTGTGTGTGAGGGATAGAAGTTGATAGAAACCTGAGTTCAGAAGATTAAGATTAAACTAAGATATATAAAGGAAGACTGGTCAAAGTACATTCAAAAGAGAAAGGTGGATTTGAGATTGAGGAGTGTTTGTGAAGGGGAAGAGTGCAATACCTTTACTCAGAAGTTAGTAATATACACGTTTTTATTAACTAAGGAAACAAGTTACAGAACATCTTTAAACCAATGCACTTCTTGTACACAAAGTTTTATTTTGTTTATTGTTAACCCAGAGTCATAGGCTATTTAAATACCAGAGTCTCATCTTCAGGACCACAGATTCTAATGAAGGAGTCCTATGGTTTGGGCACAATACTGTGTTTGAGGTTAAGTAACAAGACTGGAATTAAACTCCTGGTGGTAGCGCTACCTACTCAGAGAAGAGGGAAATATCAAAGAAATTAAAGACATGCCATATCCAAAAAAAGTATAAAAGACTAGTTATAACAGTCCCTAAACAAACCTGACCAGAAAGGAAGCAACTTAACCCTAAGTGTCACTGCTTCGGACCTACTAGATGTTTCACCAGTTGGAAACTGTGACAATAAACAGTGATCACAAGCATGGTTAGCAAACATTGTCAAGGAATGTATTAAAGAATTTTTCTCCAATAAGTGGCAGTATAGCCCAACAAGAATGAAAATGAACATGAATTTTCACAAGGAAAAACAAGCAATTTTTAAACATATCACAAGCAGAAAACTGCTAAGATGGCAGATGGACCACTGGAGAACAAGGGCAACAGAGAACGAAGGAGAAAGAGATTGCAGAGAAGTGATCAACTCCACTACTGGAAAGGTTACAGCATTTGGGGCTGTTTAGCTTAGAAAAGAAGCAAGTAAGAAGAGATGCAACAGAAATGTATGCAAATATTCATGCTATGGAGAAAGTGGACAGGAAGCAGCTTTTTTCCTCACAGACTACTTAGCACCCAAGGTCATCCACTACTTTATGCAGCACAGAGTTAAACTATGGAATTCATAAGCATAAGAAGGTGCTTGTAGTGATGACAACTAACTTACACAGCTATAGAAGCAGAGTAGACAGATTCATGAAGGATAAAGCTATCGATGTGGCCACTACGCATGATAGCTATGTATTATATGTATCATTCTGCAGTATCAGAGGTATGCCTTTGTATGCCAGTTGCTGAAGAAGATGAAGTATTTTTGCATTCATGGCCTGCTTATGTAATCTGGTCAGCTGTGGGAACAAAAAGCTGGACTAGATAAGACTGGACTGGTCCAACTCTTACTTACCAAATACAAGGCGGAACATTTTAATGACATCTAACTTTGTAATGGTCATAATGCAGTCTAGATGCTGCACAGTTTATTTTACATACTTTATTACCTCTTGTGGTTGACCCTCTACAATGCTGTCCCTGTTTTTAGGGCCACAGGAGACCGCACTGCTGGGTCAGCACCACCTTCTTTACATCCCATTTTAGAACTAGATTAAAATTAGAAAAAGGTCTTGCAGTAAAGAGAGTTTGGTGAAGTCTTAAGTACGAACTTGTTGGGAACTATGTTTTTTAGTTTATTTGTAAAAAACAAAAACAAAAAATCCAACACTGGTACAGAAAACTTTCTCATAACAGACCTAGATAATTATATTTGACATGCAGAAAGTTAATTTCACTAACAATGAAATATATTACAGTTTGGTATTATAGTGAAGGTATCATGTACCATCAGCTTGAAGTAAACATCTCACAGACCTAGTTGAGCCAGTCAGTTTGCAGGGAGGATTCTCATTTTCTAGTTTTTAGCCAAACTCAGTCTAGAAGCTTATAGCATTATAATCAAAATTCATGAATGTTTGATGGCAACACTGCTGGAACAAAAATTAAGGTAACACAGTAAAGGATCTGGTCATATTTAAATCAGAAACTAAAGACTGTTTTACCAAATGTTTGAGATTAATACAATAAAAATGTCCTCATCTCTCCAACCATCTAATGTGGTAGTTGCATCTCCTTGTTATCTATTGGACAGTTTAATAAACGTATTTCCAAAGTGACAAATTCCATTGTACTATCATCCTACAAGGGGTTTTTTTTTTTTGAGCTACAGAAAATTTCAAGTGCCAGAGATTTCCTGCTCTTTGTATTCTACTGTTATATATAATTTGTGTCATTCTATTTTAACATTCAAATATAATAGCTTTTAGACAACTGTTTCTTGCAATCTGTTCCGATTTTATAGATATGTAGATACTGAATGTTTTTTTGGTAACACTGGTAAGTGGTGAAACTATATGCTCTTTGAAACTATTATCGTTTGAAAACATATTTCTAGCACTTCATTCTATTTCCTTTCTGAAGTGTTCCATTCTTTTACATCTATTCCTCTCTTACTACTGAAGCTGTTGATACAGCAAGGAGCTATTTTAATCCTGTATTTATTTCATTTTTACACCACCCCTCAGCCGAGACTCTTTGGTTTACACAGCCCATAATTTACTTGTTCTGAACACTTTATACAATGGTAAGGATACTCAATTATTTTTGTAATCACAGTATTTTAAAGGCTTAAACAGCCCTCCTAGTTTAAAATAATACTAACCCTAACCCTCTAACCAAAAGTTCTTGTAGTTAACAGTTGGTTTTGTGTATAATTCCATGTGCAACTAGATATTGCAATTTAAAATTTCCTTTTTCTATTATACAATTGTATTTTGGACCAAACCTTTCACAAAATCCACCAGAACTAGTCCAAATGGCTATATGCTTTCTCCAAAATCAGGCAGCATACCTGTGCACGCCAGCTGGTGGGAAACATTGGGTGGGAGGATGCTGTTGCAATTAGGTTCAGGTTGTGAACACAGCCAGCTGGACTGTGGTCTGATTCAGCATGGCTTTTTATGTTCTGGAATTTATTATTTCCAGGGAAAAGACTCTTCATTAAGCCATATTTGCATATCTTGTATTTTTATATAGCTCCATTCAGATATTTTGAAAGGATTCTGATTATCTCAATACAAATCCAAAGGTATATAGGCTGCTCGATCTATTTTAGTCTTTCGATAATCTGAGCTAACGTTCACCATGATATAGCTTTTGTTGATGTTACAACCCACCTCCTTTTTGTAAGATTGAAAAGGTTTCTGCTGAGGTAATGCTGCATATGAATTATTGCTGTTTCTTTCATCCCAAAAATCTGGGGGAGGGGGAGATTCATACACCATGCAAATAGTATTTTCAGCGTGCTTCACACAAAACGGAGCAACAGTATTTCAGCATCCACTGGTTATGAGATTTTTTTTGTATATATTTAAACATGAAGAATCAACACATTAAAATTAGCTGCAACATTCAAGTTTCAAACAATTCTACTTAAACTTTAATACTTCTGTTTAACAAAAGAAACATTAAATAATACATTCAGTACATCTTATCAAATTAAAAATACATTGTAAAATATACATGTCAATCCAGCAGTCTTTCCATCTTAAGGATAACTGAAGTAGACACACTTCTCAAAATTTACAACCCTATTGTAAAAACATAATTCAAGGTTATCTACTACATTTGAAATACTTTCTTGCCAAAAAATTGAATGGGTAGGGCTAGGAATCATCCTGCCCCCTGGCCACAACTTTCAATCCTGCCCACAGCTGTAAATATTTTTTTAAAAAACTTTGTACTTTAGCTACACAATGTGGTACCTTAACTTTTGAAAGTGCATTTTTTCCCTAGAGTACTTTTAAAGATGCTAAAGTTGAATTCAGTATGGATCTAACCAAGATAATAATCACAGATTTCTACTAGTGATATTTTTGAACCCTTGTTTCTGTGTCTACAAAGCCCATTTGACATTTGGAGTACTGATAAAAGGATTAAAAAATTAAAACCTTGGTAAAGGCTCTGTGGACACTCTGCCTTATTATAGATGCTGTTATATAGTCCCCTACCCCGACATAAACAAACACCATTGCAAATATGTTTTAAATGTCATGCTTTGTAAAATAGTACTGGGTAAATCATGGCATGTTGTATTCTTTAAAAATGGGAAGACATTCTTTTAGAATAATTATTATGAACAATAAGAAACATTAATAACATGAATTTAAAAAATCGTATGGTCCCATAAAGACTAGTATTTTTAAATCATGCTTGAGTCCACTTCAAATGTTAATACAGATTGATACAATGAGGCAACAAAGTAACACCATTTTATATAAGCAAATGAATCAAAGTGATAACTGAATACTAATATACTGAATGTTCCAAATGATACTCTAAGTCTATTGAATATGTAAATAGTCAATTCAGTTTAGTATGAGAAATTATTCCAATTTGCATTTAGAGTAGCACAGAAAACCACCAAAGGGCAGTACTTGCATTTCTTCAGTATCTGCATTTTTTCTGAATTCTTCAATGTAGTTCTACAGTTAAAAAGTATGTATTGGGGAAAGCATGCACCAAAGTGTGTACATTAGTGAACATACAAAAATACATTTATGCTTGCCAAAAAATGTAAATTAGGCATACATGAATGCATTATATATGCAAAATGCACATAAAAATGTATACAGTTTTATGTGGATTTGATAATCTCAAATAACACTACTTTAAAGGAGTGCTGTTGAGGGCACCCATTACTTTTTTAGGTGTATATCTAAAAAAAATCCACGTGTATGAAAAAGAATGTTGTAAACATGCATAGGTACTCTTGTCAGAGCTGTAATTGCCTGCTTCTCTGTGGAAAGACCAAAACTACTACTTTACACTGTGTAAGCAGCCCTGTACAGCCAGACATGCAGGCAAGTCTTAGCAGTTATGGAACAGAACTGATTCATTCAGTTTAGAAATATGGTTCTGCTGTGCTGCTTCAAAATTGTCCAAAAATGCAGTACTATCACAGGAAACACAAATTCTAGCACTTCATACTCAACTGCATGATCGAATAGCTTTCAGCATCTACATTAGAAAGCTTCTCTACATAACCCTATCATTGCAGCCCAACTGCAGTTAAGACTTAAAGTTGTCACTTTAAATATGATTTTCATGGCAGCAGCTCACAAGTTCAGCTGTAACCTTTACAAGCTGAAGCCTTCTGTACTTGTGGAGGACACTGCTGATCTTTCAGGCTCCACATAGCATGAGGATTTTTCAGGAGTCAACAAGTTAAGCTGAACTTATGTACAGCACCACAAGCAATGTGGCACAGGCAGGGTCAAAAGTACAGCCTTGCAGCCCCTTTGTTTTCCTTCTTTGCACAAGATTGAAGAAAATGATTGCATTCTATATAAAATCCATATATTCAGCAATATACCCTAGTTCCATATAATGCTCTACCACATCCAAGATTGCCCCAATGTTCTTTGGTATTTGGCAGTCCTGATGCAGAGGGCTTTAGATATCATTGGTCACAAATCATGTGATATGATTTTATATTGTCTATATATTTAAAACAATGATAAAATGCTGGATGTTATGCTTTTGCACAAGTTGTCAGCCATGCTTCTCTGTCCAGCACAGAGACTGAATGCAATTCAGGCATTTGTGGACTATTTGTCTGTCTTTCATAATTAGAATGTGTGATTCTCTCAGGACAACCTAAAAGCACACATCTCTATGATGCAATGATTTGGCAGAACAATCCTAAGATGGTGTTGGAGAGACTAGAACTGCAGGAATTCCCTTATCCATGATGGCTCACACCAGTCAGGGTGGAATGTGGGGTATTCTTCTCCATCACTGTTTTGTACTACAGCAGCCTCATCCCCAGGTCAGCACAGTTTCCAGCTCTGTGGGCATGCTGGAGAACCAAGGAAGACTAAAACCCTGCAGAACCTTGACCACCATCATGTCTTCAAACTTTTTGGCACCATCACTGGCATGGTAGCCACAGCAGTGAAAGTTCCAGTGTTGCCCAGGGAGGACTTCTTTGTGTGGAATTTCCTTCCTGCCATGGAGACTAAGGTCTTCAGCATTTTAAAACAACCTCTTCAGGAAGCATACAATTCCATCTTACATCTTTCTTTTTTCTCCAATATGATTAACAGTGCTCCATTCTCCATGCTTACCATTGTTGAAAGCTATGAATAAACTTAACAGTTTATGTTTAATTCTGACAGTTATTTCTTGTTGATGTGTAAACAAGCGACAACACTGCATCAGGAAAACAATTGACACACAATGTATCTCTCTCTGGCAGTACAGCAAGGACCAAATTTCTAGTGTCTTTATGTTTCTCCATCAATAATAGGGAAAAAAAAAAACCAAAACACTAGGTACACGTATGAAGAAATCTCAATGGATAATCCCCTAATATGCTGAATTAATTTTGGGTCTAAACCTAAGAGGTAGACTATGTCTTGGTATAGTGTCTAACATGTACTAATATATTTGAATATACATGTATCTAAATAATCTTGTAACTCAGATATAACAGTAGTAAAGTTTGTAAAGGATATCCAATGATAATTTCTATCAGTACTACTGGTCTTTTCCAATACTGACCATATGCCTTGGGAAAGGTAATGTTTCTACTATAACAATCTGTATACCCTTCAGTTATTTTGGAGTCTCCTCTGTACAATTCATGCATTACACTGGAAACCCATATATAATATGAGCTTTACAGCCACTGGTTATTATTCAGTTGTAATTTTTCATAGGCCTGTTTAAACCTCTAGTGTTCGGTTACACAAACCGTGTCATGCATGCTATTGCTTATCCAGTTTGGTTTCTATTCATGCCTGACTCAAAAGCCATGGTCTAAAATACTCCATAGTGAAACCATATGCCCAGTGGACTTTTTTAAACAGTGGCTGCCCCCACCCCCAAACCACTCCACTCCATGCTTCATGGAAAACTGATTTTGAACCTGAAGAAAATACTAATAGCAGCTAATGGTAAGGCCTACATATCGAGTGGTCCAAGTGAAGTCCCACTGAAACAGGCACTTAAATGCTGGTACAGTGGTACAGCTAGTCCTGGGATCAAATTCCAATCTTATGGTGAAACCTTTGCACTTTCTTAGAAGATTCCAGGTTACTGTAATTCATGTGTTTTAAGCAACATGCATCTTCAAAACAAAACTGAAATTATATTAAGAAGTTAATACAATCTTAATTACAATTGTGGCACTTAACCGTAAAAAACTAGAAGTGTTCACAAAGTAAACTAAAAGGGCAATGTACAAATAGAATGGCCATGACTTCAGCAGGAATGTATCAATTTTTATAGTGCTCAGCAAACCACAGATGAGGTTTTTAGTACCACATTCAATAATACTGATTTAAGGAACTTAGTCTTTTCTTCTCCCAATCAATAGTTTGTTTCTGTTTATTACATACAGACTGTTTATCAGTCTATTACTAAAAATATATCAAGAAGGCAAGATTAACATCTTCTAAAGGCAAACATGATTCTGGAACTTCACCTGGCAAGTAAAAAACTATATATAAAAATGTTCACAAAAGCATTTTTAAGTCACAATACTGATCATTTAACTGATCATAATGGTTAGATACTACAAAGTATCTAGAATTATTATCTGGGGCTATCCAGATATCTAAAGTGCTTGGAGTGATTTTCAAACAAAACTAGTTGCAATTGGATGTGACATATGTGCAACTGGATGTGACATATGTCCCATTTTACCACTCATCTTTAGGGCCACTCTTAAACTGGTTGGTAACTATCACCTGGTATTCCACCAAAATATTCTTGTATTTTTTTAAAAGCCCTGATCACTTAGAGAAAATACTAAATGGTTATTTTAAAAGACAAAAATACAGACAGTGGTCTTATGTCACTCCTTTCACTACTCACTCCAATTGTAAACAAGATGTACAGACTCCCTGACTTGTCCTGCTTCAAAGATCACAAATAAAAACATAACATCATCACTAATTGTCCATGCACATTTAAAAAGTACCAGCATGTTCTTTTCTTTTTACAAAATGTCTATCATAGATTAAGAAAGGACAGTTTTAAAAGTGGCTGTGCACTTAATATAAAGCTTCAAATCCTTTTGTCACCTGTGGGGATTTCTTTTGCCAAGACTCATTGTCCACACAATAGGTTCTGATGATTCACAAATGAAATGATGATTACCTTGGCAGATACAAAATCCCATCTGCAATGGTAGTTATTTTCCTCCCTTAAAAAAGCTTATTCCTTTAGAAGTTCCTTCCAGCTCTGGAAGCTCTGTTTACTTGCAATCTTTGAAACTGTTGAATTTATTAAGCAATATGAACATTATCTCCTCTCAACAACAACAACATCAGATACCACAGAAGGTCCTTCCCCTGTTAAATATTAAATAGATTGTGAACAGTGAATTTCCAGACAATGTACATTCTTAAATACTCTGAATCAGAATATAACCAGGATTTTTAAAGAGTGAAAACTACTCCAGTTTCTTCAAAATCCATCTATGTTGCAGGTTAGGAAATTTTTCCAATTGGATTTTCTCTGGAAAAAAATGAAAAACACGGATCCAATTATTAATTAAGGCAGAGGTGGGGAGGAATGTAGCATTAACTGAGCAGAATGAAGGAGGTAGAGGAAGTTGGGAAAGAGAAAGGAACAGAGGAAGCAGAAACAAGAAGGATGGCGTGATGTATTCACATCTTGTATTTTGCAGTTTTTATACATTATTCATAGTCCTTTTTATGCATCCTCCTGAACATAGGATTGCTCCAAGTATGCTGGATGCTGACCCTACCCCATATGGCCAGTCAAAGACTATGAGCCCAACCAACCCCAGAGGGTTGGTATGAGAATAAGACCGAGAGGAAGCTACCTTGAGTTCCTTGAAAGGAAAAAAGGTGGAATATAAATGTAATAAATTAATAGATGAATTTGCTGGCCCTACCCCCTCCATCCCTGTATACATCTACATGGGAATCCAGGGAATAGGACAGCGTGTTTGAGCCTGACTCCCTATACATTTGGATCCTTTAAGCATTCAGGAGGATGCTTCAAGATAGCACATGGAAGGTCTCCCCATCGCAACACACAAGAATACAGATATGTAGTCGGGGAAGTGGAGCACTACTCTCTGTTACCTTTATAGTGCATGGAGATGCACAGGCCAAGAGGAGGCATACCACCCACCTACACACACACAGACACTAGAGAAGAGCTTACTGCCCAGATTCAAACTTTTCAAGATTACATTTAGTCCCCATTTCTCTGTTTCCCTCCTGGAGGAAAGCATCCATACCTCATACAATTAGGCTTAGAAAAAACATCCCATTAGCATCAGTGGAAGATTTTGTTCTAAGCATTGTTACCATGTGAGAGAGCACAAAGGCAACTGCTTGACATCAACTGGAGGGGTTTCCCCCCCTCTAAACATAATTGTCTGGTGGAAGGCCTATCTTCCCAAGTATACCCCTCTAAAAATAATCCTTTCTCCATACTGTTCCTCACAGCATGGCCATTAACCTTTAGTTGCTATCAAAATCTTCCTTTGGCATCAATGGAAGCTTTTCTCCCCTAAGGTTAATTGCTATGTGGGGCAAGGATAGCATGTGGAAAAGGGAGATTAATTCATCCCATCTGAGCCAAGTTTCCCTCATCACCATTGGTAATTGACCACTTGACAATTAACCTTTGGCAAAAACATCTGCTACTGCAGACAGACACTAAGACCTCTGGGAAAGGAAGAAGATCTGAAATCTATGAATACCCCAATCCTTTGTTTGTCAGGAGACAGGCCTACCCTGCAGACGGAAGCACCTGCAATACTTACTCACTGCCATATTTAGCACTAGATGATCTTTTCTTTCGGTATCTTTCATGATGTTCATTCAATTGTTCTACTGCTGATATTACTTGCTTAAGAGTTTGAAAAGTTGCTACTGAGTCTTCTATTGTGAAATTAGAATAGTCATCTGGTTCTTTCCGTGGACCTTGATATACTGCTATACTTCCACAAACCTCTAAAAAAATAAGGGTGTACCATCGTATTAGGGAAAGTTTAATTTTTCATTTAACAAAATGTTCAGATGAAAAGCCTTTTAATAAGAATGGGTGTTTAAAAATTAATAAAGGCAAACAGGTATGTTCTGGTCATGCCATGTATGCTATTACTAATTTTCATAAATGTAATTATTTATTAAATTATCAGATATAATATATAATAGTAAGCTCTGATAACTTTTATGTAAAAGAACAAAGGTCACTGGGATTACTGTAATAATGCAATGAGTTAAGTATGTTCTCCTATTAAGTCTTTAAGTTCAGAATACATTAAGTTCATTTATTGACACATATGCCGTGACTATTTACTGTTGTGAGCCACCCCAAGGCTTCGTTGCGATGGGGGCGGCATAAAAATGTTTTAAATAAATAAATAAACAAACAAACTAAGACTTATGCTGATAGAACTCTTTCAGGAACAGAGTGTAAATAGTGGAAATGCAATGTATGAAGAGGTTTGTCTTCAAATAATTCTATCTTCAGTGGGCTGGGGTTCAAACAATAAGTTAATCAGGAGGTAAAAATGATCTTCCTCACCTCCTTCCTCCTCCTCCAATGGATTCCAAGATCCCTAAAAAGGCCTCACTTAGAGATAAGGGAGAAGGGAGCCAGGGAAGTTAACTTCAACCAACCCTATTATGCAAACTTTTGCCCGTTTCCAACCCATCCTGTTTTGAAATAAACTGACAAAAGGAAAATGATATAAAATTACATTAATAGGAAATTTCCTCCCAACAGTACTATTTCTAATAGGCTGGCGGCATTTGAGAAATGCATTGGTACCTTCCATCTTTTGCAGCTTTGGCATGTTGATCTCAAAAAGTGAGTAGATTCTCTCTGTTTCCCGATCTCCATCAATCTCAATTTGAATGTCAGCAGGTACACCACTAAAATTAAAAGGTATAAGCTGAATGTATCTTCAGAAAATGATTTGTAATATAAACTGAAAGAGATTAATGCATACATCTTGATGCTAATGACACATGTAGGCAGATGTTTTAGTTACTGTACATAATTCCAAATATTGTTGAAACTTGAGTATTGGTAAGCATAGTGTATAACTATTTTCAAAGAAAAATATTTCAAAGTGTTTTATAAAATGTAAATGATCAGCTTCAGAAAATAAAGTGTTAACAAGTGAAAAATCATGTTGAATAAATGTTGAAAATGAAGGGTTCAAACACAATGTAGAAGTAACTATTGTGAACACTGAGAACACCTGAAGGGAGTATACCACATTAAAATGCAATGTAAAGTCTGTACACATATGTATCTTCCTCCTCTTTTACACTCACATGAGTTTTTTGTTGCATCCAAAGTGGGGAAGAGTACAGTTAGTTGAAAACAGGAATACTTCCATGCCACGAAAGGGGAGAATGAAAATTCACAGCTTGATTCTGTTCATTTATGTTGAACTAAATTATGGTTTAGGAGAGAGATGAGTAACCTCTAGCCCACCATATAATCTATGGTCTGTGAGGGAACTTTTGACTTACAGAAGATTCCCCACCCACCCTTCCAAGCTTCTTCCTAGTCTCCCTCCAACTGTGCCAAATAACTTTCACTCTTTTCTCTAATTATTGACCACCTTTAAATGTTAGAAGAATAGGATGATTAAACTTTAAATACTTTTAAAATCCTTTTAAAACCCTCACTATCTCCAATTACTCTCCAATTACTGTGTGAAAAGAAAGATAGTCTTTTGTCAATACAGTGCAGGGAAACCCCCCCTCATCTCCCATCAGTAAAGGAAAATTAGATTGAGGCATCTAAAGTTTAAATACTCTGCTTTTTAAATACCTTTAAAATGTAAAAATATTTAAGGAAAGGATGCAGGAACAGCAACTTGTATTTTAAAACTCTATTTCTATGACTGAACACTGAATAGGCATGGAGAGAACTGAACTTTACTTTGTATGCTTGCTGAGAAAATTTCAAACTAGTATACATTGTGTATGCCCCCATCATCTCTTTTCTTTCCAATGATGGTGATAAAATAAATGATGACCATGCATCATAGGGCTGATGACCTATGTTCTTTGTTGATCTGAGGAGCACTGGTTGCTTATGAGAATGACAAAGTTTTAAGGATTTCAAATCAAGCAATTAGACTGACAAATGGCCTTGAAAACACACACACTTCTGATATGAGGTCTATATGGCCATGAATAACTTATGCCACATAAAACATGCAAAAGTCAAATTTACTTTTATTCCAAGCACACAGATATACTTGTCTTTGCAGATGCTACTTACGCAGTACATGGAGAACACCCCACTGTATTCTCTGATGTGGCCTTGCAGCAAAGCCAGCTGCCATTCAAGAAAGCAGATGGATGGTAAACACTCAGTCTCTTTTGGTTGCATCTGCTTACCCTACAGAGAGCTTCTATCCACTCACTGGCCTCTACACAATTATTTGCCTGTACATAGAGTGGTTTTTCAACATGGATTACTTGAAACATCTGAAAAAGAAATATCATTTTCTTTAGCTACCAATGGAATTAATTTAGGGGACACTAAATGATAGCACAAGCTTTTCCTCATTGGATGTTTTATATAACAACTCAGAACTTTGCATTCTGTCACTAATAAACCAGCACTGAATCCTCCAGTAGCTCTACTTATTCTCCTGCCACATAGCTCTTTCTCACTGCCCTCCTTGTCCTTTTCTTCTATGATAGGAAAAAGCTGCTTAACATGATCAGCCATCCATTATCCTTCCATTATAAGTTGCACCTCATCTTGGGAAATAATTGTTAATAGGAAGCATCAAGGAAGAATTTGCAACTAAAAATCATTTTCTAGAGTTGAAGTATAAAAGTGCCACCAACTGTGAGACAATGTATTTTTCTGATCCAAAGGTTTTCTTCTGGGAAAACAGAAATATATATTGGAGGTGGGCAAAACAAAGTTTCTTTAAAGTTTCTTGTGAAGAAGTATCAACTGAGCACTCAGACATTCTTAACCAAGATACCAATACACAGACAGTCTGTGACCTGGTTTGCAGATAACAATCCCAACTGTGAGCTGAATAAGGGTTGTTACTGAATAATGCATTGTTCTTACATGCAAGCCTTGCACTATGATTTAACTGGCTTAACCATGAACCATCCAGAGTTGTCTGAACCCAGTGATGCTAACAAATCATGGTTTGCTAACCATGTACACAGTTCAAAGCCCCACAAAACATACTGGGTTGTTTGTGTAATTGAGTAAATACAACACTCATGATTCAACAACCAGCAATGGTCTAACAACCCACCCTCACCCATATTCAGGTTTGTCATGTTGTGTGAACCCAGCCATAGGTAAACTTGTGCACAAACATGTACAGACAACTGACAATTCAAAATTAATCCATTTTCAGAATTGCTATGTGTAAGTCAGCCCTAGAGGTCACTGTCAGCAATCTACATAGTAAGCTTACCCTTTATATTACAACTGCCATACAAACATTTTTTCAATGAACTTCTACATGGATCAGGCTATACAATAAAACATCTTTAACTCAAATAATGCAGCAAAGACATTTAGAAATGTGCCTCTGCTCTCCCATAATTAAAGACTGCTGTCCTAATGGGAATGCTCAAAAGACAATGTTTAATTGTTGTTTCAGGTCATACAGGAAGCCTTTGAGGCGGCTTTTGTTTGTTGCCATTAACCTTATTATTTATTTTTATATGTGACATTTTATAACTCTTTATGACTGTTCAAATGGTCATAGAGTAAGTTTATTTCTAACTGGCATGCCAAATCAAAAAATCAACTTACATTTTTCTTGTTAAATGCACTCTCATCCAGTTTTTCCACGGCAAGGATGTTTTTAACTGGTATCGTATAAATAGGTTCTTTATCTGCAAAAAGGATGAGAGATGAATTAGTAAATTGATATAAACGGGAAAACAGCACCATAGATAATGCCTAATGCAGGAGATAAATGTTTTGCAATGCACACTACCCTGTAATCTGCAAGGGAAGTCCTAATTCCCACAATCAACTTTTCGTTTTCAGGAAGCAACTGATAAACATAGTAGAAAAGTTCACTTGCTCTACAGTATTGAAATGAGAAAACCTCTAGCCACAGGCCTACTAAGGGCTGCAGGAATTCCTTTTCCATCCCTGGGAGCTTATTTTTTTGGCCCCACTTTCTCTGTCATAGAGGAAAAAGCCTCTTTTTGCCAATCAGCCACTGCCTGGAGACAGCAAATTCTTTTGATAGCCCAGAAGGGCCAAGGCAAGGGAGAAAGCTACTGAATGGTTCAATTCTGCTTCCTGAAGACGCTTGTCATGCTTACTTTTGAGTAGACATGCATCTTACTATAAATTGGCTATATTCTGCCCAACCCACTTTTGTTTGTGGCCTACCCATCTTTGGAAGGTGGTATCCAATATTTTTTCTAAAAAAAATTTAGCTCTTGGACTGCAAAGTTAATTACCCTGGTGGAATAATCCATATATGCAATGCCAGCCCTTATTGTGTGAGAAAATTTGAGGAAAAATATGATAGGTAACTTCAAAATATGAAATATTAAAGTATTGCTGTTAACACAGTAAACCATATCATATCACTTCAAATATGGAAGTTACAAATGAGCTGCAGTAATACCTTGTTGCTTATGGTATGTGAGCTCTCTACTTGTAAGGCAGAACCAACGCTTTTTGAAATTCTTTTTTCCAATACGAGTTCTTCCTTGTGCTCTTTTGTACATTTCCCTGTGAAAACCACAAATCATCATCATCATCATCATCATCATCAAAAAATACTTTCAAAATCTTTCTCACAAAGCTGTTTCCAGATGGATTTACTTTCAAGTTGAATTAATGGATTCAACCACTCTTCTTAAAATGTGGTGTAGAAATCAAATAATTTTCCAGCATGGGAAAGCCTTCAGGAATATTAATTGTAAATTGATATAAGCAAATCTACTGGCTTACCATGATGCAGAAACCTACAGTGATACCTGGGGTTGAAGAAACAGTACCACCCACTTAGCAATTAATCCTTTCAATTTTAAGCATTGAAATGACTTGTTGGTGTAGCTGCTTTTGCAGCTCTCTCTGCCCCTTTTCACTGCTTTTAAAATTAATGACTCAGGAATTGACCCTAGCAACTGTGTGCAAATGCAGTCACACCTTTTCACTCTTTATGTATCTTACTTACTCCACAGCTGAAACTTATAAGGAAATGGAGCAGGAAAGACTTGGGGACACATCATTAAAATTATCCATACAAAATATACACACTTGTCAATATACAGTATTCTGTACTTTGATTACCCTTCTTTAAGATGTACTGGCTCGCTCATGACACTTGGCTCTTTACTTTCAGTAGATGATACTTCATCTAAAAACTAAAGATGGAAAAACATATTTGAAAAGTGTGCATTATTTACTAAATTTAACTGTGGAAACTTGAATAAAAACAAGCATTGATGAAGCTTAAACTCAGGCGTTATTTGCCAATTTATCAATTTGCCAAATAGAAAAGTGTTCTAATTTACCATTTTTGCATGTTTCCCTTACATTACTGATCTAAAAATGATATTAAATAGTGCCTTTTAAGACCATCCCAACTAAAGAACATCACCAAAACCAGTGAGATGTAAAGGGCAGCATGGTATAGTATTTATTTGTTTGTTTGTTTGGGATATTTCTAGGCCATCCAAATCACTCTGTCTCTGGACAGCTCACAACAAAATCAATGAATACAAAAGTATAGTAGTCAACATTTCAGTCATAGATCTGGGAAACCTAGGTTAAAATCAGCATCCAGCTAGAAAGCTCACTGGCTGATACTTGACCATCTCCCTGCCTAACCAACCTGGTAGGACTGTTGCAGGAATCTAATGAAAGTCAAACTTTCCAAGTTCCTTGCAGGACTGCAGAAAAATGTATTTTTTTAAAAAAGCCACGTATTTTATGTAAAATACCTTTTTGACAGCTTCAATATACTCCTCTTCCTGAAACATTTTGAAAAATTCACACATGAATGTCTCCTTGAAGCTTGACTAAAAAGAGAAAAGTGATACAAGGGAACATTAACAGAAAGATACTGAAAGTAAACACACACACACACAAATAATAAATTACTTACTAGTTTACTTTTGGACAAGCTTCCCCAGCTCCCCAGAGTCTGGATGGCCTTTGATATAAGTGTTAATATTCTCAAAGTCTGTGCATCCTGAAAAAGACATTTAAGAAATAAGTAATGTCACTATTTTACAGATGACAAAAGTCCAACTAGATTGAAGAACATGGCCAGCAAATATGTCATAACTGGTATTGAAGTACCACAGTGAGAGTCCCATATGTTTCTACACACAACCTGAATATGCACCTACATGAAGCTTTCATATGGCTCTCACTGAAGTGGAAATAGCACAGGGCAGTAATTTGCAGACAGCAACCAAATTCTTATAGAAAGTATAGACTGGGTCCAAAAGGCATGCAAAGGACTTTGACCTTCAGTGCCCTCTGCTAAAGTCATGAGGGAAGGAATTGATTTTTGCTGATTTCCCCTCTCTCTGTTGTGGCTCCCTGCTCAAGGGAGCAGGAAGAATAGGCAAAAAATAGCTTTCCATCCTCCATAAGCGGCAATGAACATTTTCTTTCCATGTGTGAAACTCTGCTCTCAGGAGGTATGGATCAAAACAGATTTAAGTTCTGTGGCTTCATATTTGACATGCTTCCATTCTACAAAAAATAAGATTGCACTTCATTTCAGATGAAACTAAGCTTTTATTGAGCAGTTCTAAATATAATACATAATAAAAATGTTTAGCATTTGTGCTTATCCTTTTGATACTTAACATTTCAAAAGTATAATTATTTGAAGCACACTGATGTCTTGGGTTAAAATCTGGCATTTCTCTTTAATGCCCCTTTTCTGAACGTATGATATAGCTATTAAATGAATATAAAATACAGCATCCAATACAGGCCTTGGTAATTCCAGGGGCTCCAAGGCTAATTTTAACCACTTTGGGCAAAGCCCCCATTCCACACCACTGGACTTCAGCAGCAACAGCAAAACAATCAGCAGTAAAATTAGTTTTAAAATACAGCATGAACATGGTCTTCCCTTAAAACAAAACTGGGCTTTTTTAGACTACCATGTTTTGCCACCAAAATTCAGTGGTCAACTGTGAACTGATCTGCCAGTACAGTGGCAAATTTGGGGGCAGCAGGAGTCACATTTAAGGCTAAGGGATTGTGCTGCCACTCTTTGTTCTAATATCATTACTAGTTACTAAAAACTAAGCTATTGTATTCTTTTTCCATAAGGGCATTGTCTCAACAAAGCAACAAGCTCCTAAGGAAACAGCACTGCCAGTTAGAATAATTAAGCTCCCCTTGTTAACAAGGACCCAAAAAATGTAACAGACATGAGAATTGTGAGTGAGGTAAGACAGCTGAGTGGAGAGGTGAAAATGAGTTGATAAGCATAGCACGTATATACTATGTTGGCCAAGTACACTGCTTTCAAGAACCTGGAACCTAAACAAATGTGCTGCAAAATTATGCCAACTTAAAGAAGTTTTACTCCAATAACCCAGGAAGAGAAAACTTTATTATAGAACATTTTCCCTTTTAGATGATCAGAATACATTTTTTTACTCAACTGTGTCTACAGTATATCTGCACTGGAATCCATCATAGCACCATTGTTGAGAACAGTCCACAAAAGAAAAAAATTCATGTGACAGTAAGCTGTTTGGGCTACTTCCCACATTATGCTTTTCCTATGTAGGAAACATGTTTTATGAAGGAAAATGTGTGAAATGAACATGTAGATCACTGCACACAGTGCCAAGCTTAAGTGTCCCATCTAAACCACCCAGAACATTCTTCTAAAAAATCAGCCTTATAGCTTTCTATGCTCTTGTTCAATAGAACCTGACTTTTTTTCTTTAGAAATTGTTTTTGACTCCCTTTCAAGGAAATGCATCACAGTGGAGTTAAATTACCAGAATGCCAGTCAACCTACCTATCTGTTTTTCAGGCATGTGGGCTGTCTAGAAGCAAGCACTTTCAAATTAATAAAAATCACAGAATGCTTTTCCATTTAGAAACAAGATAGTTAAAATGAATTGACTTATTTCTCTATACATCCTCCTAACTAAGCTAGCCTCCAGAGTTTGAATGTAATGTTATTGAAACTTACTGGATGATGAGGTCGTAAATGGAAAGTATGAGGCGATACTACAGCTACAGCAAAGAAACGAAGAAACACAAAGCTGCTCACTGCAGAATATTGTACATGAGGGTCATCTGCCAAGAAAAACCATGAAATGTAAAATGTACTACAATGTAGTAGAAAATGAAGAAAATGAAAAACCTTAGCAGTAAGTAAAAAGGTTACTATTCTTTTGCAGAATAAAGAATGAGTAAGTAGCATGAAATGAAAGTGTGGTTATGATGTAAAATGCTTTTCCATGCATCATGGGTGCAAGTCAAAATTATTAGACACTGCAGTTTGTTTGGGACTTAGTATAACAATAAACCATGATTAGTTTAAAATGAAAGCAAAGGCTTTCAGACTTTCAGTCTCTTCCTCAGAGCCACACCCTTAGGATCGGGAGCTCATGAATCCAAGGCTTGTTCATGTTATGCTGAACCAGTTTAGCCTTATGTCCAAACAAAGCTACCATGTAAACTTGACATTAAATGCACTAGAAATTATAATCATTTTCAGAGTAAGGCTATTTTTACTTTCTATGCAGAAGACAATTCTACCTGTTCTGGCAGAGAATTCATGGAGTAGGTATAACTACTTACTGTTCACAACCAAGGTAGTAAAAGATCTATAGCTGTATTTCAAAATGTTAACATACATCTGTGTTTGTTTTTGCCTCTTTTGAGCACCCTATCTGCCACTTCTTTCATACTGGCATTCTCGTGTAGCAAGTGTGCAATTCTGATGTCAAACAGTATTCATTAACCAATTCATGTGCTCTATACAGACTATGGTAGCCAGGAATATTTTACATCCTGTCCCCTCAAAAATCCATAGACGATGATAAATAGTTAATTCAGCCATTTTCATTTTCTTAGCAATGCGATGAGGCCTGATTTTGGGAGTCATATTTTTATGGACTTCAAAGAAATGTTATGCAGACCATATATCAGATTTTCACAAAACGTATGGGCACACTTACTAGGAAATCGTTCCGCAGCCAACTGCCTCAGAGAACAGAACATATCACACATTAATGTAGGGCAACTTATACTTGACTGTACAATTGTACTGAATACTTTGTCAACATAGTAGCGCAGATTTTCCTGTGAAGAAAAACAAATTTCAACAAATCATGTCCTTTCTATATTAATGAAAAACGCTTCTTGCCATTTTATTTTACTGCCATAAAGAAAAACCTCAATAAAATTGCATACATGGTCTTCATTCAACTATACAATTATAATCCTGGAGAGCAGAATGAATGCAAATCAGACAAAGGTCAACAGAAGACAAGTTGGTGTAAGTAAACCAATACGTAATTAAAAAGGGAATAAACTACCCTACCAAACAATATCCACCATTTTTCCATTGAAATCAACTGCACTAGCTAGACAGAAAGAGCTCATACGCCTCTGACAGACTTACAGCAATTTATAATATTTTCCATAGCACATTTAGGATATAATCTGGTGTATAATTTCTAACTGCAGAAGCTCACAAGTATTGCAATTTTACTGAGAAATCCAGGTAGTAGTAGAGTTCCAAGGTCACATAAAGAGTATCTTTAAGTGACCCAGGATTTGATTCCTGAGGCCACAAGAGGAAGCAGCAGCAATAATCCTGCTCCTTCTGCTGCGACTAGATTCATGTCACCCACCACCAACTATCAGCCATTGAGGTCATCAAAGGAAGTAGAAGCAGTAGCCCTTTCATTCACAAAGTTTAGATCTAACTCCATGACCTGTTGAACTAAGAATCTAGTGCCTGAATTTGCTTTCTTCCTTCTCTCTCCTTTTTTTTTTTTTTTGGTCATGTCTTTTAAGTGTGTGAACCTGTTGACATGAACTCTGCTCCAGAAGCCTAGACCAAAGAACACAATAAAAATGCTTTACTCTATGAATATATATGCTTGCTAACCCTTATTTTTATTGGACTCTACATAATCAAGTTAAAGAGTGTAATACAGAAGTTAAGCAGATAGTGACATAGCAGGAGCAACAAAATGTGCTCAGGTTCAGAGGAATTTTCCTGCTACCACCATTTAATCAGTATCTATTATCATTCCAAAGAAGTGATTATGCAAAGACATATACTTAGCTCCTCAAATATATATTGAACAGTATCAAAGAAGCATACCTTGTTTATTTCTACACTGTCTGCTTCTTTCAGTTTCACAGGGTCAATTTCACAAGGTTTAGGATTCTCACATATCTGAAACAAGAATAAAGTTTTACAGCACAATCCTGTGCATATTTATTCAACAGTTAGTTCCACTGAATTCAACAATATTTACTCCCAAGTAAGTGTGCACTGGATTACAGGTACAGTCATTTACAAAGTCATCACTTTCTTTCAAGATTTATTAATGTGCTAAGAAATGTTCCCACAGCAGCTTCTCTCTTAAGGACTGAGGTTGTAATTCACAGAGTGAATCTAATCCTATAGACTAAACCCTCAACTACTCAGTGGTTCCAAAACTCAGATGCTTCTGCGATTCTTATGCCCTGTCGGGCTAAAGTTGACGGAATCAGAAGAACAACAGAAGTGATTTTTGCCTCTCTTTCTTCTAATCTTTCATGTTTTTCGCTAGATAGGATTTTCAGCCTGTCTAGCAATGGAGCTTTGGAAGGGGAGGAAAAATCCTTGAGAAGGCGCATGATAAATTATATGCTGGCTCCTCCAGTCTTCTCCCATTCCCACAACAAGCTGATTTTTCCCCCTCTAAGGTTTATTTTTCAACCTTAACTCTAACTCCCCTTTCTAAGTTCTAGGTACTGCCTCTCTTAATGACCATAACTCTTAATAAGTATCTAACTTTTAATTATAAATATTTTATTGGGATACTGGGCCATTGGCTTTTAATTGCAAGAATCCTAGAAGAGGTGGCAATTGCCACAGTCCTATGAAAAATCTAGTATGGGGTTTTAGGCTTCCAAGATCGATCCACTCAGTATAAAGACAGGAAATACAATTTATGTGTTATAGCATTTTTACATAACTTCCACAATAGGATTCTATAAAACAATTGAGTTATATGAAGAGCACTAAAATGGTTTTTGAAGTTTTTGAAGAAAGGTCTCCAGACAGCAATACAGCCATTTTAGACATGGTACGAAACTAAAAACACTCTCAAATTCTTAGGTATTTGTGTGCATTTATTTAATTTTTGTACCTCCCAATAGCCAAAAGGTTCTCTGTTCCTGATATTGTTTCAACATCAACAACATGCTCTCAAAGTTTCATGCAATACTTCACCTCATCTAGAATTGGTTTTAAGGTAACTTTCAGGTAGTGCTTTCCCACTATTTTCATCATCTCATCTAGGCATCGAGTAGCTAAAGAGTTTCCTCTGAAGATTGTATTTGCTTCTCTGTAATACAAAATGAATAATTTAGAATTCCAGACAGAAGGAATGTTTAAATCATAGCCAAAGTTATCTGCCGAGTACATGCAGCTCATATACATTCAGAGTGAGGAAACTGTGGCCTTCCAGATGTTTTGGCATTATAAATACCATCATCCCTGACATTAGGAAGGACTGATGGAAGCTACAGTTCAGCAACATGTAGCGGGCCAGACATTCCTCACTCTAGTATTCCGAAAGGGGTTTTTTTTTTCAACACATCCCTGAGATTTTCAAGACCAATTCAGGTCACTAATACTGAATTCCATGGTTACTGGGTGCCAAGCTAATTATCAGTTCTCCATTTTCTCTGTTGAGCTGCAAGGAAAATTCTGTAAGGAAGGCAAATATCTATTTCATTACTGACAGAAAATCAAGATCAGAAAAGCATAATTAAAGCTAACAAGATACAGAAAATATAAACCTTTCATCCTACAGATTCCATTCTTATACTTATTACATACTAGCTTATGTTGCCCTTCTGGTTCAATCTGCAATTAGGACTTGGTACTGTACCATTTAAGATTTTTTAAAAATCAAAACAAAACAAATCAGTTAATATTGTAACACATTAATAATATTACCCCCCCCCCAAAAAAAAGATCAGTTTTAACCAAATATCAGAGGTTCACAGATTTTGGCTCACTTTAGTGTCCACCTAAATTTATGCTGACACTGTGCTCTCACCTAGAGATAAGAGATGCAGTCTTATTTCTGAAGTCATGTTAATCTTTAGAGGAGTATTCTGAGCCAGCATAACTGACAAGAAAAGGTCTTGTGCCGTGAGGAAGACAAGGTTTGAAAGATCCCCCTGCCCTTTTCCAGGTTCAGGAAATCAACAGAATGTCAAAATAAAATGTACTCAGCAGTGATTGAGTTTATTTACATACCCCTATCAAGTATATGGGTATACTGCACCCACATCAACCATTACTGCCAAAAGAATCCCAAATTACTTGTTTTATGTTTTGTCAAGGAAAGCATGCAGTTTCATGCAGAAAAATACTAAGACTATCTACTAACAAAATTTCTTACAAAAGTATGTGGGACAAGTTACACCCATGTATGTACTTGTCATGTTCAGAAATATGGGAAAGAGAAGAGAGAAGATTAGGCACTTACTGGGTATCCTTCAATTCTAATTTTGCCACTGCTGTAACAAACTGTGCTAGTGTCTGATGAAGAAGCAACAATCTTACAAGAGGCAGAACGGCATCATATTTATCTGGACATATCTCAGCCAAAATGTAACCAGTAGAAGCAGAAATTGGCTATAGAAAGACAAAGAAAGCAAAATCATTATCAGTTACACCAACTGAATAAATATGAAGTCTAGAATTTGAATACATTTTGAAATAAAGATAACATTCTACACTGAAATGGGATAATATTCAATTAGAAGTCATATCTTCAACAGGCAAAACTTATTCAAGCATAATAACTGGGCATTATTCTCATATAACCCCAGTTCTCCGTCAGCTCCACTGGCTCCTGATTGAAGTCCGGGCCCAATTCGAGGTGTTGGTTATGGCCTATAAAGCCCTCCACAGCTTGGGCCCTGCTTGCGTCCATATATGCCCTCCCACCCCTTGAGATCAGCAACAGATGCCCTTCTCCGGGAACCCTCCATGAATGATATTAGGAGGGCGAGTACCTGGAGGAGGGCTTTCTCTGCAGTGGCACCCCACCTATGGAATGCGCTCCCCAGAGAGGTCTGCCTGGTGCCGTCGTTATTTGTTTTTCGGCACCAGGCTAAGACCTTTTTATTTAAAACTTATTTTAAGTGTTAATTTATTATGGAGGATCTTTTTTTTTTAAATTAAGCCAAGATGCACTGGGTTTTAGTATTTTTAGTGTATAAATTTTTAATATGATTTTGTTTGTTTTCGTTTTTGTTGTGAGCCGCCCTGAGGCTTTGTTGCGATGGGGGCGGCATAGAAATGTTCTAAATAAATAAATAAATAAATAACTCTTAGTATTTATTACCCCCTAAGAAATTTTTACTATCAATCACTACATATTAAATTCAATGTAAATGATAATGGTTCTAGTTGAGTTTTGCAATGTTACAAATGCATGTTAGTGTTAAAGGTGCTCTATGATTCCACAAGAAGCAGAGCAGGCAACAAAGGGACTACTCATTTCAAATAAAAAGTTATAGCCGAAGAGCCCATGTAGGGAGGAATACTCAGCCAGTTTGGCTGAAAAATAGCCTTTTAAAGTTGTGATATTTCCTGTGCCCAAATATTGTTGAAAAAGTGAACAGAGAAAACTTGAGTATGACAGCATAGTCAAGATTCCTCAGGTAGTTCTTAACCTGTCCCAAGGTAAAGAAGGCCACTTTATTTATTTTTATGGTATTTCTAATCCTGTACAAGAGTCTCAGGATGGCGATACAATATAACGACAGAAAATCAACATTAAAACAACAATTAATCCTTAAAATTCAGGGGAAATAAAAAAGTCTTGGCCTGGCACCAAAATGAATAAAGCATCCGTTCCAGGCACATCTCTCTCTCTTGAGAGAGAGAAGGTTCCAGAGCTGGGGTGCTACTGCAGAAAAGGCCCTTCTCTGGGTAGCCACTCTTCTGATCTCCTTCAAAGAGAGATTATACAAAGATCTTAGGAGATAGGCAAATGTATACAGAAGGAGACACTCCTTCAGATACCCAGGCCCTAACTGTTTAGGACTTTATACATCGTTAGCATCTTAATTTGGGCCTGGACTTCAACCGGTAGGCTGTGTGGACAGCACAGGACTGGTGTTATATAATTATATCTACTGGTTCTTGTCAAAAGCCTGGCTGCTGTGTTTGGACCAAATGAAGTATCTAGGCTGTCTTCAAGGGCAGCCCCAAGTAAAGCTTATTACAGTAATCCAACCAGGTTACCAGAGCATGGGTCACTGTTGCTAGGCTCTGCTCATCCAAGTAAGGATGTAGTTGATGGACCAGCCAAAGCTGGTGGAAACACTCTGCGCCACAGCAGTCACCTGGAACTCCAAGGATACCTCTGGATTGAGGAGAACTCCCAAACTACGCATATGCATTCTTACACTTTCTTTCTCCAAACAAGCAGTTTTCATCAAGTACATTTGGGGCTACTTGGTTTCCCATGAGCTAAATAGAAGAGAAACCCACAGTAATTCTGTCTCTCATTTCTGTTTCTGTTCACAGGACAACAGGCCACAAAGACACAAGAAGAATAGTGTCCACATCTAGGGAGTCTTCATACTATCTACTTGAGAATATTCCTGACAAAGAAGACTCCTGCAGAGAGTTCTGGATAGTATTTATACATGCCTAGAAGGTTTTATTTGAACTACGATTCCCACAACAGTAACATCAACTTGCTTTTGAAATGCAAGCATTACATGAAGCACAAAGGTCTGCTCTGAAGAAAATGAAAAGTTCTTACAGTTATTCAGTATTATACCATTTTTTGGACTGGAACCCTAACTAATTAGGTATCCTTTTGAAGCTCTTGAAAACTATGCAAGGCAAAATTTTTTTGAACACTGCCCAACAGTCACATGTGATATGTGAAGTGGTGGCCCTGCATTTACTTCATCTTAAATTGAGTCCCCCAAAAGCAGAGTACCTCAACTTCTGATGACTTTAGCAGCAAGTCTCTGAGAGAAACATAGTACTCTGAGGGAAGTACATAATCTTCAGCATAACATATGTTCAGTCTAAGTGATCCATGATCATCACCCTTAGCAGATTTATTTCCATTATCTCTTGGTTGTAGAAGGTACCTTAAAAAAGCAGTAATAGCAATTGTTAAAGCATGCTCTGACTGGCACAACTCAATATTGTAGTTTGCTCACAATTTGTCAAGAATGAATTAGAATGAAAAACATGGTAGCCTTGCAAATGTGCATGCATGGGTGTGCACACGTGCACGTGCAGGGGAGACTGAACTGGTTTACTAGATAAATCTCAGATTTCTAAATGCTCAAACACATGTGAAATAGACTTGCATGAATTATTCTTTTAAACATTACATTGTTAGATAGGGAACACGGCGTGATTGCAGTCGTGCTGGGATGGGGAAGATGGCCATGATCTTTGTTGTTCTTTGTCACTTTGCTTCAAATGTTTGTGATTAAAAAGTGGTTACAGAACAGATTAACCTTATTTACATTGAACCTTATGGGGAAATTTGACTTGGCTCACGACCAATTTGGGTTGTGTCCAGAGTTGTGGAATGGATTAAGTTCGTAAGCCAAGGTACCACTGTATTTATGTTACAAATTAGATTCAAATTGCAGAAGGAGGTAAACTACAGTACACCTGTCGTCCACAAGCTAATTTCTGGTGAAACACCCAGTGCTGCTGCTTTCTGGGTTCTTACAAAGAAAGCTTGCTGAGGTGACTTCCAGAAGTACCTCTTATGTTTTGAAGCAAAGGCAAGTGAACACTTGGTTTCATTTGATACAAAATAAAATCTAGCAGCTAAGATATAACTATGTCTTATCTGCTACTGGCAGATAAACTAGCAATGGGTAGAATTTCAGCTGCTCCCCACCTCAGTAAATGAGCATCCCATGCTTCCTGTCATTCTCAGCAACCAACTTGTACCAGGTTGGTTTGGTATCATTTATTGTCCCAGGCTCCAAGTATGGCAAGAGGAAAGATTTTTAGTTACCACCAGTTGTGCCAGATTTCAAGTAGATCTTGCTTTGGGCTACTTAAGAGTATGCTGGTGTTCACTGTACACACTTTTGAATGTGGAAGCAACCTTGTGCCAGATGCACTTGTTAACTTGCTGCATCCTTGGGGAACGTGCTCCATCATGACAACCCTGATTTTCCAGGACCAGGGGCTGAGAATGTTGTTGCCATCACTAGGTGGGTGCATAATCCCCCACTGCTTCCAAATTCAGCCTCTGAAACAGTGGCACAGTGGGAAACCAGAGATATCCATGTAGCTACTGCTGCTTGGTTGGGTTCCCATTCTGCATGTCTACATAAGAATTGTGTGCCAGTTCACAGTTAAACTTATGTAGTCATATCCAAAATGAGCATTGTGTTCCTAATAGCATCCCATCTAACGTATCTGTGACAAGACAGACTTCTATAATAATCTCTTTCATTGTAATTTCTTATTAGATAGGTCTGCCCATCCAAGGCATCCACTGCAGTAGTCTAATAGAAGCTGACTTTTTATAATATTTTATAATTTCATGTTCAGTGAAGCACCATTACAATTATTGTTGTCCAAGCTGCCATAAGACTTTGCAATATCCTTCCCAAACTTTTGACATGACTGTAGCTATGGTGCTACTTCTTCATAAAAAGTCACAGATAAAAATACTGGCCATGAGCTACTGACCCAAAGTCAGGTAACACTAGCCATTATTAAGAGAATAATCACTTCCTAAGTCCTGCCAGTTTAGTCTAACCAGGGCAAAAATTATGCAGCCATTTCTCATGAGTTCCATGTTCCCCTTTCCCATCAATCCAGGATAGGGAGGGACCTTTTGATGCTGCAGATCCAAGGTTGTTCCTGCCCCTGGAATACCCCATTTAGTTCTCTACTTCCTGGAGAAACACCTGAAGAAACACAGTACCAGAACACGGGTTCTTCTGCCTCATCTTAATCCTTCTTGACAGTTAAGTCTTGCCCTGACACAGTTAAGATTGCTCTGTCAATGGAACCAACATTAGCTCTGAATAACTTTTGTATGGCTTTCAATCCATGGTTCGTTTAGCATTTTGTCTGAACCAGGAGTTCTGGCTTGTTGGGGGAGAAACCAAAGAAATTACCCAAGAACAATTCTTTCAGCCTCTTGCAGGAGATAATAGCCAGAGTTTCTGGTCTACATGTCATTATAAACAATCAGGTATGTCTTTGGGTTGTTTCGCCACTCCTGCTTGCAGCAGGAGTAACTGGGCAGCACACTGCCTCATTCATCACAAACCAGAGTTTTAAAAAAAAGTAGTTTGCCATTATGTGTAAACCAGGAATAAGGAACCTAAACAGGACAAAATTCACCTGGATTTCAATCAATACACAATATCAAAGAACAGAACATGGTACCTAATAAGAAAAGAAAAAACTGGTAGTGTGATTGCTCAGTATACATTTATAGCTCTTTTAACACTGTCATACATACTACAAACCTGTACTTCATTTCAACAATTTGACATGTGGTCTTCGGCCCAATCTCTTACCATGCTTGGGAGGAATCACTTCCTAACATCTTTACAGGAATTTTAATTTCACCCAGGAAAAGGTCCTGCACCAAGTTGCCATTGTTCCATAAGTCAATTCTGAAAGTTAAACCATAGTTACTCATTTACTTTTATAAGAATCACAATCAACGTTCATATAATTTAAGAGTAATAATCTGATCTAATGCCATCACGTTGAGCACACCAACTCAGCATGCACACAAAGGAGGTTATAATGTCACACTCAATCATTTCTTCAAGTTAAGAGGAAGAAAATACCTTATTTCTATAAATGGTAACCACAGGAATGTCAGCACAGTAGTAGCTAAAGACGAGGCTTTATCAGTAAGATAAAAGCAATACTGGATAATATAGAGACACTTAAAGAAGAAACAAGTGACCACTATTTTCTTCTCAGGCATTTACAGTTCATTTTATTAATACTTGTATTTTATTGTCATTCTAACTAAACTGCAACACTTCAGTGACACATGCAGTGATTTTTTAAAAGCCAAAACAGGCCAAGTTCTCACAACCTAAAAAGCTGTAAGACTCCCAAAGGCATGCACTCTATTTGGGTTGTTGAGTCTTACCTCACTGATATTTCTGTTAAGACAGCACATATATTAAGAAGAAGAAAAAATAAAATCCAATGTGTTGTGGCATGACTAATGTTTCATTTAGAGAGGCAAGGGAATATCTACTGTGATATTAACTAAGGTGTCTGAAATATCCCAGTGATCGTTTAGCTGATGTCAAGTTAAGAAAATAAGCTATTCTTTATCCCCATTTGAGATAACAGTATCTCCTTAAGTTCGTAATGAAGCAGGATTAGAAGTGAGACCTGGGTTCATCTGCTCCCTCCCTGTTGCCTTCATAAGGGATAGACAACTTTTCCCTTCAGCAAAGAAGGCAAGAAAGAAATATGTAAGTCTCAGACAAACTATAACAATTACGCTGCAATCCCTTGCACATTTATGTTTGGTGGGTGGGTGGGGTCCATGCCACTAAACTTAATAGAACCTCTTTACAGACACAAATAAAATTACGCTGTTAGTCCTAAAACAATACAAATAGCAATACTTCATAGTTAAATAATTTTGAATATGCTACAATTGCTGAAAAGTTTGTCTTCCTCCACCCCTTCAGCTGGAGTTTATCTTGACCATTTTCAGCAGTCACAGAATAAGTTTTTGCTTCTGTTATAAAAACACTGATTCTTTGGTATTGAAACAGTAACATATAATATTAATATGCTAAAGGACATACCTGACTTCCAGCTTCTCAATATCTTCTTCTTCCACCTGAAACTGTGACTTTTTGGTGTAACTACTGGACCTGGTTACCTGTAAGTAAAACTCAAAGTAATCTTTCGCTTTTTGTATTAATAATTTAATCTCTATTTTATTTATTCATTTATTTACACATGTATTTATAGGCTGCTTATAACTGCTGAGGCCTTCCTAGGCTGTTATTTTGAAATCTATGTCTTCCTAATAGTAATCATTAACAAGAAAAAGAATCAGAAATAAAAACATTTCCCAACATAAATCCTCAAATACAAGATAAGCAGACATCTTTAAAATATATTTAGAGATAACTGCCCATCTATGATCTTGCTCTTCACTAAAAATATTAAACATTTAGAAATTAGTAAAGGACCACAGCTAGCATCTTTTCATCAAGAACTGTATGGGCTCCTAAAGCATCAACCCAGAAACTATCAGCAGCAGTTGAAGACCTGATGCCTAAGATTGTCAATCTTGTTTCCCAGAAGATAGCTCCCCCTTCTTCTGCTCTGCTTAGTATTCTAAAGGGTGGCATGACCTTCATTCTCCCGATGGTAGTGAGAAGGGAAGGAATTTACATTTATGTGAAGAAATGTCAGGTGTGGAAAATGAAAATTGCCAAACTCCTGCATATCACAGCTAATCATTCAGGTAAGAGGAAGATAAAACCTATTTCTGGATATTTTAAAAACTATGCATTCACTTGGGATCCAGACTTAGTCATATGTAAGAAGCCACTGAAATCAATAGGGCTTCAGTTAGTATGGCTAAGTCTGGATCCTAATGAAATATTGCAAAGAGGTTTTGAAATATTGTCAGCATTGTACAAAAGTCTCCCTTCGTAGCTGTTCAGCCTATGGTTGTAAGTCTCTTATATTCCATGTTCTCAGTATAAAATGATGACTTTCTGCTTTTTGACCTGAACAAGCCATTGTTCTCAGCAATTACAATGAAAACTACACATATTGATTCAAGGGAGGTGAGCAACCTTGATTTGGAGATTATTCATGTTCAGCACTATATATTAGACCATGTATAATAATGAAACTATTTAGTTTAACAAATGTTTTGACTAGCTTTGCAACATGTATTGCAAAACACATTTCTGCAAATGAGCAGTTTTTATAAACTTTTGCTTCACTAACAGCAAACATTAACAGAAACCCTTTTTCATCACATCCATCACTCCTTGCTTCTACCTTCCTTGTTTTCTCTATTAGCTATGTCAAATGGTAAGCCCTTTGAAAGAAGGAACTTATTTCTGCCTGTAAGACGCCATGCACATTCCTGTAATTATTTTTAAAGGCTTCATATTTAACACATAGGTAGCTAACAAAAAAAAAGAAGTGTAAACAGCATAAACCAACAGACAACACACCAACAGGTTATTTTGACAGGAAATGAGTTACCTCAAAATAAAATGTTTCATTAAATTGAGGATTGCTTGTTTTCTTCTTTACTTTTGTCTTCTTTTGGTCATTCCTGTTCCAATATGGTACAGTTTTACCATACAGAACATAAAACAATAAAAATACCGTATTTATATGAACAAACTATGCAGTGAAATAATACATTTATGGAAGACTTCTCTTTAAACTGGAAGGCATTTTTGAGTAAACTGAGTACATGAATGACTACTGGAACTTGTGCGGCCTTACTGAGGTTAGTGTGAGTGTTAAATATTTGGATCAGTATCTGCATGCAAACTGGCATTTTAAACACACCAGGAATGGGCAACATGGGAGCTCTAGCTGCATGTGGCCCTCATGGCTGTTTTTTTGTCCCCAATGTGTTCCTCTGCCACTGCAACTGAAATCATGCCATCAGCAAGACTGCAGTGAAAACATACTGTTTCCAAGTAGAACTGTATTCCTGGAAATCTTGCAAAGCAGTGTCTATTTGGACAGAAGACACAGGTTCCTTAGTCACTTCCCAACAAGACTGTTTCTTTTTTTAATTGAAGTAAATTTGGAAGTGGACCCTAGGGGAGCTGGTCAGTGAACACCAATCCCTGGAAGCTTCCCATCCCTGATATATGCCCATACATTATTTTAATGTTATCTTCAGCTTTTGGCCACTAACAACTATATACAATAGAAATATAATAAAATTTTAAGCTGTTCACATGGGACAGTAACCAGAAAAATGGGTTAAACCCTGATAAATGAAAACTTTAAGGGTACTTACAATCATACAAATAATGCCAACAGAATTATTTCATGTACTGCAGTCTGAAGTGGATTAGAAACATCAGCATGATGTTTACATCAACTGTTCATCATGTGAAGTATATGCACACTCATCTGTTGGCATTTTCCATATTCTTTCCACTCCTAATTTAATATATGCAGCTTTCTTCAGATGCTCTTCCCATGCACTGGCTTGTATGTGTGGGAAATTGGACCATGCTGAGCAGCCCTTCCCCCATATATGTGCATACAGTACTGAAGTCTGCAGGGAGGAAGGATTCTTCATACTGCTGTACTTCCACGTGCAAGCCTTCACAGTGCAGTTGTACTAAAAAAAAGCTTCTTCCCAGCAGACTTTCCTACAATATGTGTGGATGTTAGAGGATAGGCTATTCCATGCACTCAATATCTAGGGAGGAACTAGATGGTGGAACCCTGTTCCTGACCCGCAAAGTGGACCAATGGATGAGAGAAACATCTGAAAACAATCAGCATCGGCAAATAAAATCTGAGCTTAGGCCTGGAAAGACCAGATTTAAATTTATGCATTTGCATGTATTTTGATGTGTGACCTTGGACTAGTCATTCTTTCAAGATCACCTACCTGGCAAATGTACAATGGGGGGAGTAGGGGAGAGTGACACAAGAGACACACTTCCCCATGGAAGAACAATCAGATATCAATGAAATAAATTGATGACCATATTAAATGATTGCATCAATATCCACATTGCTTAATCCAAGTAACTCTATATATCAAAAGAAACAAAATAGCTTCAATATTCCCCCTGTTCTTGTCTTATTTTAACATCTGTCACAAATAGTGGATAATTTGCAGAGCAATAAGGAAAGCAGCATTAGACAGAGAAGATACTTGGTTCTTCCCAGAGCTACACTACAACCCTTGTTTAATGGGATGTATATACATTAATCAACTGAAAATTTGTGCACCAAGTCATCTACTTATGAAAACTATTAAATATTTATTTATTGCATTTGTATGCCACCTCATAGCGCAAGGGCTCTCGGGGCAGCTCACACAGATTGTGTCTATACACTCTATAGAGACCAATTTCTCTATAGATACTTAGACAAGTTCAATACACTTTAAACTATTACCTTGATGGGCCCACAACAGATACTGTAGCATAAGGGTCACAATTTTGTCCATTGATAAGGGGCAGCCCATGACATTCTTTCAAGCTAGAATTGAAAAAAATGGCGTAAATGATCATGTTGCAGTTTGTTTATAATGTTTGCCATTAAAGGATGAGGATTACAAGGTACCTGAGAAATAACTATCTGATAAATCAAAAGCTGTACAGTTAAATTTACTTTTCCCTTCATACAGTAAGAGTATGCAGTTGCATTATTGCAACATTTGAGTTTAAGGATAAGCCTCTAAGGCATCCCTTCTATGAAGGAATACATCCTGGCTAGTCACTTTTCCCTCCCTTCATAAGATGATGTTAGCTTGGGTGAATGCACAGAAAAAGTGGCAAGACAGGTAATTGTAGAACTTTGCTGCTTTGTTCTTTGAAGGTATGGAAAGATCAGTTTTTCCCTAGAAAGTTTTGAAAAAATGAATTAAGGACTTTCACCAATTAAGGCCACTAAAATTGCAAACGGACTATTTACTTGGAAATATTTTTGGGTTATTTTGACTTGTCCCTTGTAGACAAGATCTCTAAAGCAGTTTCAGTAATATAATGTTTACTCTCCTTTTTCATAAGCAAGCAATACTAGAATGTGGTGGTTAACGTGTTGGACTGGGGTCCTGGGATATCTGGGTTCTAGTCCCCACTTGGCCAGTCATTCACTCTGCCTAACCTACCTTACAGGGCTGTTGTGAGGATAAGTAACTATGTAAGCCACCTTGGTTTACTCACAAAAGGAAACAGGCAGAATATACATGCAGTAACAGTAATAGTAATAAAAATAGAATAAGAATTAAATGTTCTTACTGTACTACTAGCTGCTGGCACACTGATCCATTATCTGTAATCAATTCATTCAATTTTAATTCAAGGTGAACTTTTCCCTGTCAATAAAAGAAGTTTCCATTGAAAGAATCTGTGTCAAGTTACACTCTTTGGCATACAATAAAGCTGCAAGTCTTTCAAGGTATTTTCTGATTCCTATTATCAGGCAACAAAAGTGCTAGCAAAACCCCCTGATAATTCTTCCACATAGGAATAAAACTCAAAGTACTACTGCATTTGCCTTTTGTTTATTCCCAATTAATTTAGACCATGATTCAACCCTTGCCAGCTGAAGAGGTTTCATTGTGTAAAATGAAAAAAACACTAGAAGAGTTTTGCACAGAAACTTAACTATAGTGAACTCTTTTCCACCTTATGCTTTTAAAATTTTGTAAAAGGGAAACTTAACATCCCTAGAAAGTGCTTGGATTTTAAGAAGTTATTGACATTTTCAAAGCCCAAGAGAACTAAGGATAGGATACTAACATATATCACCAGTTGTCTGAAAGACAGGTAGACAAAAGCAGGAATAGAAAAATCAAGATGGATTGGGGGGGGGGATTAGGCCTCAAAAATATATACATTGGGATTAGTGCTATTTTATCCACAAATTATGCAGAGACAGGGATAAACAAAAGGATAACTAAGTGGCATATCTGCAATTAACAATTCACACATTTGTGTCAATGCATAGAGAGAGTGCCAGTATTTATTTCTGTCTACTCCTACCACACTTGAAATGGGGAAAAAATGAAAATGAAGCCCAAACTCAAATGGACAAGCCTATCAATAGGCTATAAATGAAAATATCCTATCAAAGTCAATTAACCATGATGGCTAAAGGAAACATCCATGTAGAGAGCTGGTTTACTTCCAATGTCTGGAAGGAAACAAAGCAATGGATCATTATCACAATCATATGCTCCCTGTAAATGTCCCAGAGGCTTGTGATCCGGGTTCAAGGCAGAGAGTTGGATTAGATGACTCTTGTGTTTGAACAAGCAAAACAACACTTCTGTTCTTACCTTAATTCTCGGATCTAAAATATAAATATGATCAGTTATTCAAGTGTTCCAGGATTATAGCAATCAGTAAGTACATTTCAATGAGCTCCTGAATACACTTCAATCTGTAGGTCGATTCTAATGCATTATTTGAATCTAGATGTTCTACCACTGAGGGTGGAAACATGGCAGGGCAGCTTTCCCTGTAGCATCTAACTCCAAAAGAATTTGATTCTTTAAGTCTACATTAGCACAATTGCCTTATTGTTCTCCCCTTTACCATTCTGAACCAAAAGCTTCCTAATTAAGGATTTACTGCATAGGGGTCACAAATTACCACAGTTATCACACTGCTTTTAAAAACTGGGTTGGATTCGTACATCTTATTTCATAATTCAGCTGAATATGGAATGGCATCCAGTCTGTTACTGACAATTTTACTCCAGCCTCACACCTATCACCTGCTTAATTAAATAACCCAAGAGGAGGCAATCTGTTTAGCAGCAACTATGTGAATGGCTATGATTGACTGACTAGGGTGTGTGTACACATGCGTGTGAGCAAGATTTTCATAACACTGGCATGAATTTGGCAGGTATCAGAAAAATGTTAAACATACTGCTTTTATTTTGCAATGTTTTTATACAGGGAAATGTTACCTTCAAATATGGAAACTTTGTTAAGTCTGAAGTAAGAGCATATTCATAAAGGAGTCATTTTGGTATTATAGGTATACAAGACATTCTACTAATTTGCTCATTATAGGATTTTACATTATCAGGATTAAAGAGATATAACTGCTTATATGCCAGCAAAGTTTCAAAAACAGAAAATGAACATGTGTGCAATATGTTTAAATGAAGAGTCTTTCTAAAAACAATCTTCAAGGAGGATGCAATGCTTTAAAATGAATGTATTTTGTAAGAAGAGCTAAATCTTAGCCTCAAAATAGCTTTGAGAAAGCTAATCTATGCAACTGCGCCATAATTGTCACCTTAAAAAAATGAGATTGTGCACACACTCATCCATGGAAATGAACTGCTGGTAGTATTATGTATTTGCAAGTACACACCCTAACCTAAGCAAGCTAAGCTTGTTATTTAGGAAGCAATAAAAAAGTTACTAACAGAACATTTCCGGTCTGAAAAACTAAGCATCTCTGTAATTAACTGCTATTAACATACTGCTGCGGATGCTTTCAAATGTGTTTTAATCAAGGGATGGGG